GTGTGATGTTCCTACCAGCGATCATGCAAGTGCTTTCGTCCAGGGCCTGGCCTTGTCCCCCCTTAGTCGGCCGAACCCCCGACCCGATATTGAGAGGAAATGCTCTGTGCTTCCGCGTCCCTCCGTTCCGTGATTGGTGAGACATCGCGGCGGACTCCCATCCGATGTACCTGGACTTGCTGAGGTGGACCCCGTCCGCCTCACAACGCATGACATCGATATACTGTGGTACAGATGGCGATGTCAACTAGGGGCGATGCGAGGGTGCCATGGTCGAGTCAAGACTTCTCAACGGGGCCGCAGCCCAGCAACCGGTCATCGCGAAATCGCACCGCCATCGAAGAGGGGATTGGGGAACAGTACTAGACAACTCTGTCTTGTGGGCAACTTTCGCCTTGTCGCCGGGCAACCTGGTGACAGCTGTCAAATATCGACAGCATCCTCCTTGCCTCGGGCGAGAGTTTTCGGGGGGCTTCATCCAAGGGTCTCCGTGTTCCTGCGTCTGATGTTGTGCCACGACAACTTGGCCATTGGGGACATGGAAGAAAAGGACCCATCTTGGGCTCCGGTGCTTTGGTCATCGAGAGAAATCGACGTGGTGTGCGTTGGCGACGGAGTCGGTTTTGGTGGACAGGCGTTCCCTGTTAGAAACGAGCATCATTCATGCGCCCGGCAGCGAAGCGGCATTGAGAGTTCTGAGCGTCGCTCCATCACTACCACTGGCGTGGAGCCCGGCGTCTAGCAAACCGCTTGGCCGCATGAATACGCTGGAAATGGCCGGTATTGTGATGCATTTGGGCAGTTTCAGGACTCGCACCGGGTTCGGAACGGGAGGACAAGTTGTCAAATTGAAGGATGAAGTCGGATACTGCCGGCCACAAGAGTCCATTTGAGTAGTATTGGCCTGCGTGTTTGAAGCGTGGAATTCGATGAGGGATACGAGAACTCAAGCCACATTGTGGCTTCAACAGCCAAGCATCGAAATAGACACAAAAGCACGAAATAGCATGACGTCATGTCTTGATGGCTTGGATGGGTCAAACATGTGAGTAAGTCTGTGTATGTTTTGCTCCGTATTGTTTTTGTTTTCCTTGATTTGATATATCACAAACTTTCTCTGCCCAACGTGCCTCCATCAACCCAGACCACAAGGCTAGCTAGCACGTAACTGAGCTCCATTTCTGCGTTGTCCTCAACGTGATTCAGTGATCGAGATGAGAGCTGGCGTGGCATCGCACTGACCCTCCTGAGTCTTGGGGCCAACTGGGAGCCGACGCTTCACGACCAAATGTATCTCTCAACGGAATAGAAAGGGACGCAATGTCATTTAACTTCAGCTCTCATCAAATTGTGACGATATTGAGGCCTCCTGGGTGTATAAGAGCTACACTTATGGCAACAATCCCATCGCATGCGAAAGCCAATTCATCAATACAACGACTTTTCATGGTCCATCACCTGCACACCACCACACACATTGACCAATTACAGGTGCAGTAGGTCTCTCTTATGTGTTATGGTATGATGCGCCTCCAAAGTCCTGCAGGGAAGCTGCCGGCAGACACAGAGTGGGTGATATGGGGATCAATTGGGCCTATCGCATTCCCGTGTCTTTGTCTTGGAGCCTGAGGAGGGGGCAGATGTCCTCAGTGGTCAAGTCACGTGTCTGTTGATTACTTGCTCGGGACTTTCGAAGGCGGTTGATTGAATGTGCTTAATCGTATATCCATAAAGATGGTCGTGGTCTGTTCTCTTAATCAACCGAGCATTACTGCTTTAATCTCACTTGTAACTATCAGAAAGGATAGAAGAATTGAGGTCGTGAAAGGTCCCAGTGAAATGTCGTCCATGTCGAAGTGTACTTGTATATCTCCCATGCCTAAAAACATCAAATGACATCATATTGATGGTCAAATTGTGAATGTGAAGTCTCGATAATCTTCAATAAATGGTATGGGATCATCTCCAATGCTTATGGGATTATCTCTTCTTGAAAATCCTTAGTGTCCTTCCAGAAAGTGCATCGTATCTACGTCCGATCACTGGCGTCTATCTGCATACAAGGCATTGACTTCTCTGCACGATGGCTCTATTTGACTGAGCCCTCGCACTGCCAGCGAGGCTATGAGACTAGGAAAGGAATCAGCGGGACATAAATTATTCAACTGGCCTTGCATGTGACCTAACGAATGCCAACCAATCCAAGCGATGCCGAAAACTAGATGCCTTGGAAGGTCCTAGGTGCAACTCGTGCAAATAGAAATGCTACATAGAAATGGTCATTGGCCGCGAAATCTCACATAATGACAAGAGACTTGACTCTCCATGCCGGGAGGCTGATCCGAGCAGGCTCGATAAGGCCTAAGTAGCTAGCTTGTGAAAAGAGACCCCAGTTAGAATTGACCAACTTCCACCTCACAAAACGTTCACACTCAGAGGCATCCCTCCGGTTTCCTCCAAGGATACGTGATGATCTGATCACGGAATACGCAACGAAGCTTTGCCAGTGAAGCTCGATGATCTCGAGGTCCAATCTCAAATCATACTTGTGGACGTGATGCGCACCCTGACACATGAAGAGAGTGATAAACCAGGATACTCTACAGACTTGAAAATAGGTGCTCAGTTAACATTGACCACCTTACCGGGAAAGAACAAAGAGTCAGGGCATTACGAGGAAATTATGTTGCCACTAAATCTGATTTACAGGTTAAAACTAAATGGAATTCCTCGCGGAAATGTAACAATCGATCCAGCTTGGAAACAGAAAAGCGCAGCCTTACACATTATGTGTTGAGTTCTCATCAGGTGTTGCGAGGCAGTCGATGCTCCAAACGACCGTACGCGTAAGTGCAAATTATGCAATGGGCAAGGTTGATACGCCACAGGATAGGGACTCAGAACCTCGCAAGTAGAATGAGGAGACATTCAAGTACGCAGTTGGGGAACAGGACTATCAGAAGAATGTTGTAGCTCCTTCTCCGGCTCGGTTCCCATCCTCCCAGGTCTAGATGTGTCGTCATGGGTATTTCCCACATTTGAGGCCATCAAGGCTGACCGATGACCACAGCAGTGGACCTTATGGGCTGAGATAGATGAGGAAAACGTTGACTGTTGTTAGTCTCAATATTCACATCTCCCCATGTAGAAAGGCGGAAACATCAACACCTTTGGATAATAACTGGATGAAAGTACGGAATCAAAAGCGCAAGAGTCCCAATGGTGAGTAGCTATTTCTGGAGTTCTCAACACGGAAAATCGAGCAGAGAGACAACTTGACACGAGGTGACCACGGAAGCATATAAATAATAGATTGGACAGACTAGATGTATGACTAGATAATATCAGTCACATTCAATTTTCTATGAAGAGAATCAGCTTTTCGAGGTAGCCAATACCTGAAACTACCCGCACCGTGGTTAAGGTAGTGGTGGGCACGATGACAACGGTCTAGCTATCTTGCTGCCAGTATGTGTGAGCACAAATTCTCTAAGATTAATACGTGCAAGGCGCTCAACTGAACTAAGGATAACAGTTCGTAGAGAAAGCCTTCTCTGTGAATGAGTGACTTGCTCTGAACAGCCAAGTGCCAGTTCATATAGAAGATTTAGGGCCGAAGCAACTGCATATCAGAATGTCACAGAGTCAACTGCATTCAACCTCATCAATGAAAATACATACTAAGGTAGGCTGTGATAAAAGATTTGAATACAGTCCAGAAGAAGACAATAGAGCTGAGCAATAAGAGATATGGAGTGAGATCGAGGAAGCTGCCATGTACTAGCACTCAATTGTCCTAAGCCCTTCAATGGCTTAAAGGTTGGAGCTGTAGACAAACAGCTCTTCACGACTATGCTCGGCTTCTCCGTCAATAGATCTCTCTACAAAGACTCATTGTAGACGTTGGGCCCACGTCACATGACCCTCCAAGTGAGCCTTACCATGCAATCCCGCAAGGCTGTCGCCCAGTCGCCCACAGCCCACCGCGAGGCTCCGGAAGACCAACCGGAATTGTCCCGTGATTTCTCCGAAAGGAAACCCTCAATGATTTTTGACTTCCTCCAGAGGTAGCATGTCTCTTCGTTCACACGGGGATTGAAAAGATGGGAGACTCAACGGGTCACGTCTTCGGGTGTTTAGGATGACTGATATGAAAATCTCCTATGAATCACGAGTGCATCTGTCTTCCTATATCAGCTTATATAAGCCCAACGACGGCCAACGGCATCATCCATGTGTCTTAAATATATTTAGGACCGACTATAGCACGCAGGCGCCATCTAGGGAAGCTCTAGTCGACAAGAATGGCACTATACCATCCCCTCCTTTCCACAACAGCCATCTTTTATGAATGCGTATCACATCAATTCGAAGACCCCAAAGCTTAATCACAGAAGCGCGACAGAAAGATATAGGTGTTGACGATTCCAATGTACCCTGTTGCAAAGCCAACAAGATCATATGTATGAGAACCAAAAAGTCCAAATCGGCGGACTTCTGTCGGACTGGATAACCCTCATAAACATCCCGACAGCAAACCTTCTCCCCGCTTGACCATCCAAATACACTACTACGGAAACCTTAAAAGGTTACCTGCACATCGAAATAGCAAAGGTAGCTAACCTTGATGCAGGTGGAGAGTCTATTATCCCATCTGGGATGGGTAAATCCATCATAAGCGTCAACACCTATCAAGCCGCAGTCCGGTTAGCTCTAACAGCACGCCCGCTTGCTGATGGTTGTTTCGCCACAGTCATGAGCTTTTCGATAAACTAATCGATCAAGTATATTCCACACCTTGGACGAAGAGAGGAGTCAACATGGAGATGCAACCAGACTTCATACCTGTCCTCTAGCGTAAATTTAAAGGCCAAGTGACCCGAAAGGCACCGAATACAACCGTCGTACCAGGGGTGTTGAATGTGCAGCCAACCTAGTTCCTCCGTCGAAGCCGAATACTCGAACCGCCGTCACATCAAAATAGACTTGCGCCTCCGAATCTCCCGTATCTCCCGCCGGCCTTGGCGGCCTGCTGCATCGAGGCTATCGCCCGTCTACGTTTATCATCTGCGCCGTCAGGTACCTCATCCCATGCGACTTGAGGAGTGAATTACATCTAGCACAATGGCTCCCAATGACACATTACCATCCTTGATCTCCGATCTACTGTCTCTAACGGCATGCAAGCTGCTGCATCATCATACCAAGCATAACAGGCAGATCACCAAGTGCCCCTTGTCAGCCACGTGTGGCTGAAATCATCCCAAGAAAACCCCCTCGCATCCACCCACACCGTCGGATCGCCGTGACGTCGCATTTCCTCGACACATCCAAGCTGAAACGGACCCCAAACTGTGACATGTCGCACAACAGCCGCAGGTTCGAACAACACCCCTTCCAGCGAAAAAAAGTATCAGTGTACCGTTCCCGAACCAACAGCGGTCCAGCACCGAGTTATCGCGAAATTGACGGCAGGAGAAGGGACTGGTTGGGGAACAGGCGAAATCAGCCTTCACTATTGTGTTGTGGATATTCTTTTCTATGGAAGAGAGAGCAAAACTGACATCCAACTATTTACGACAGATAGAGGACTCCTCAGAGACGTGGAGGATGAAGAGAAGTGGGCCAAAATAAAAAAAAGATATAGATGTCACGCTGCTGCTTGATGCTGATGATTCCGCCACCACGGGCAGAATAAGTAGTCCACTCCTAGAACCTTCTCGGCTCGTGAGGGAGCCCCTCGTTCTTCAAAAAAAGATTGCCCCCGAACAAATTGTCTCGTATCCGGTCGCGTGATGTCGTTGATTTATATACGCTTGGCTGTGTCGCCTGCGATAGCCCGTCTTCTCCTGTAGCTCTCCGCGTAGCCGATGCGCTCATAGGTGCCGAATCCGTAGAAAGCCAGTCCGATGAGAAGCCAAGTGCTGGTGACAACCAGACCGACGGGGAAGATCATCAGCTGAACACCGGGGAGAACGAAAGCGACAGTGCCGTTCTTCAGTTGAGCCACAACTTCGTCGACGGCAGCTTGGGCAACGGCGAGGTCGGATTTGATGATTTCTTTGGAGAAGACACCAGTGAGGAAAGCGGCCTCGTTCGAGGAGACGTTCGTGCTGACGGTCTGGCCGGCGGCGTTGACGCCGGTAAGCGTGAGGGTCGGCATGACGAGTGCTTCAAATTGTGACCTTGGAGAACATTAGCTTCAGTACTTCAATGACGCAAGTAAAAATGAGGTTCGTACATGGACATTGGTGCCACCATTCTGCTCTGGTCAATCTGTCCTACGAACAGGTATGTTTGCAGGGCCTGTGGCGTGACGACTCGTTTCTGCAGGCCGGTCCACGGAACCTCAAAGCTGAGATCCCGTTTCGCAGTGGAGCTGCCGATTTTGCTGGCGCTGACTGGCGAGACGGAAGCTCCGTTGAATGAAAGTCCGACCTGGATGTTCTGTGGCGGGATACCAGCAAAGGCATTGTTTGGCTCAGAGACCTTGAACAACCGCAGGTCGGCTTCAAAGACACCCGTTTGAGCGTTCAGACTCGGCAAGTTGTAGCAGATGCAGGTTCCGGACGGGTTCGAGGCCTGGTCGAGGTGTGAAAGGGCGTCGGTGCACTTTGCCGACGTCTCTTGCTCCCAAGCTGTCATGTTGATGGTGCCGTCGTTGTTCAGCGTAACTTCAGTCGCCCTCGAAACCCACTCTGCGTCCACCATGGAGCTTTGTCGCTTCTCGATGTATCGGTTTGCGACATCCTCGTAGCTTCGTTCCAACACATCGACCGCGCGAACCTCGATTGCGGAATCCATCGATAGCGGGCGAATCTCGGCGCAAGCGCGCGAGGCCAGCGCCGCCGTGGTGACAACCACCTTCCAATACATTGTCGTCGATAAAGTTGAGAGAAAGCGGAGAGTAGCGTTGTAGCCGGGGAGATCGGGCGGCTATCGTATTAATGGGCTCGGGGCCGAGAGAAAAGGTGGAGCGAATTGCTGATGATGGTTTGGCGTCGCCAAGGTCTAATTACAAAAGTCGGGTCCCGGCCGGCGGCGAAGCGAAGCGAATTGAAATAAGACGAAGCCAAAGAAAGAGCGTTAATCGTGTCCACCTCGTCGAGTGCCCGGAATGGCTGCTTGGTTGATTTGTTTGACTGATGTGTCGTCGAAGATTCGTTAACGACGGGATCGAAGCGAGATGAATCGATTCGAATCGTATTCAGAGGCGGAGAAAGAGAGTAGGGTCGACGTGAAGTGAAGAGAGAAAGGATGAGGTAAAAAAGGGACCTGCCCGTCAGAGGGAAGGATATTGGTTAGTGCTGGCTTGGCTGTACTCGGGTCGGGTTGGTCGCGAGATGTCTTGTCGACTCGACTCGGAATGGCGCAGAACGAACGAGAGAAGACCAGGAAGGGAGAGTGCGAGAGTTGGATGGGGTGGCGAGGATTCAATAAGGACGGAGATTAAACGTCGACAAACGGGCAGGGCACAGCAGGGCTGGGCCTTTGACAACAGGAGACGTGTGGGAGGAATTGTGTCATGCAGCGACCATCGTGGTGCCTGGCAAGACGAGCAATGGCCTGACACGTTGCGATCCACAGCAGGGCTGAGGGGTGGTTTGAGCCTTTCTTGGGTGCGGTCCGTACGGAGTGGTGTATGGTAAGGTAGGATGGAGATGGGATTGATGGTCTGGCGGGCGCGCAGACGAGGGTTGGCTCACTGATTCTGGGATGTGGAAACGGCGAGTTTGGTGGTGTTGGTGGGAGGCAGTCAGGAGCCACAATGTGAATGTGGTTGTCGGGTGCGAGTGTCTAGGTGTGCTCTGGCGTATCGAGGAAAAGACGGAGACGAGGATCGGGAGGGGTGGTGGCCAGACAGGGATGATGATGGTCCCAGGAGGATCTGAGGCCAGAGGCGTGCTTCAGCCGAAGAATACGTTGGTACAGCTAGATTGTAGAGTCGACAAGTACTGTGTATACTGCGCAGGTATGGACTGAAAAGGGCGAGTTGTGGTTGCGAATGTGGACGATGGATAAGACTGTGTGTGGTCTGTGACTTTGTGAGACGGCAAATGCAACGAGAGGCGCGCAGGGACCTGGGTTGTTGTATGGTAACAGGCCTGGAAACGTGGAAACGGGACACACTCGAAAAAAGGTGTGGAAAGGAGAGGTTGAAGTGAATAACGGAGGTGGGCTGGGGGGGGAATGGAGGGATGTAGAGAGGATGGGAATGTGGGCGAACTGTGCAGCGCTGCAGAGGCTGAGAGGGTCCGAGGCTGTAGCGGGATGGTGCCAAGTTTGGATCTGGGGCTTGTGATTGGCTGCTGGGGTGGTGGAGGGACGGGAAGACTGGAGGCGGCTGCGAGGTAAGTTGAGGTAAGGTTAGCCGGGGGGACCTGCCTCTAGTCTTTTTTGGGTGTAGCGTACCGGTTTGTAGGGAAAGATTAAGCAAAACTGGTGCACGTGACGCACGTGATGGGGCCCTCCGAGGATACGTACCTGATCACGGAGTACCTATCCGTTCAGGTACGTTTCCCTCGGTCGCATTCCATTGGCAGCCGCCGTTTCTCTCCCTTTTTTGCCACTCCCCGCCAGTCTTACGAACTTACGGAGTACACCATTTCCACTGCAACATTTCTTTCGCTTTACCGCCTCGGCTTCTTTTCTTCTCCTACCCCTTGCCTGCACTTCGCTCAGCCCGAGAAATACGGGACTCGGCAAGATCAACTGTGGACCAGCCAGTTGTCACCCTGACGGAGTAAGTGGCCCTGGCTCAAACCGCAAACGCCCTCGCCAAAACGGTACTCCGTATGCTACATCCCTCAGACCGTCTTATTCTTCCAACTTTTTGTCTGCAAGGTTCGACCATTCCCTCAAAGGGCCTCAAAGGGGAAGCTCAGATGTGCCACTTGTGCCTGGATCTGCTGAGCATATCCCTACCTCGCGCCAGCACCCAGCCCATGGCATTGTCGGATCGACTGGAGATGGAACAAGCGTCGTTCGAGGACTGGTCGGGGGCTGAAGCAGTTCTGGGCCACAACCCGCCTCTGATTGGTGCAATTTTGCCCAGGGCGGGAGGCGCCAGGGATCTTACGTGAAGATTGTTTGGTCAGGGGCACAAGGTACGATGCTCCATCATCCATCAGCCACTGGACCAATCCACCACTCGAATTGCTAGTGAAGATTGGAGAGGCACAGTCAGCAGACACAGGGCACTCATTAGGGGCTTGGATCCCATCGGCGACAGCAACCACCGGTTTTAGACTTTGAAGCCGCACGATGCACAATCCGATGTACGAACACACTGGAGACGGGTACCACAGCACGTATCCGTCTATTCCAACGCCAACAATGAGGTGCTAGAGTCTAGAGAAGCAAAGGATGGGACGTGTCGTGATTGAATGGTCTTTGCGCCTTTTCGCTCGGATGCGATGACTGTGGTACGCATCGCAAGGATGAGGCGCGACAATTAGCAGAAGACGGACGGACATTGATACCATCAAGAGACTCGATATCGCGGCCATCAAGCCATTCGTTCCAAGAATGGCCGCATCATCACGCTCTCATCGGACACCAAGAGCCAAAGAAGGCCAAGCCTAGCTCTGACATTAGAGAATCACCACAGCGTCCAACTCTCTCAGCAGAGTCAGCACCCATCAACAGTCAAAATTCGTCCTCACACCGAGTGAGCAGGCCTGCATTACCGCGCGCGGCGTCTGCAGAGTGCAGACTGCAGGCAGCGGCCCTTGTCTCAGGTGAAACGCGTGGGCCCAGCACGACCAGGTCGAGCGCTGAGCATTTCCATGGCATCCATGCAGACACCGCTGCGCACCTCGCCCAATTCGATGGACACCGCCCTGAATGGGAATGGAGAATGGGCAGCACGGCTAAGCGGCATACGCTGGGAGCCCATGTGCAGCTTCTTTTCAGCGCCAGTTCATTGAAATTGAATTGAAATGAATTGGGGAGGATATCTGACATTTTCGAATTGGGCTGCTCCGAAGGTCTTTTGGGCTCGAAGTACCTACTGCGCCACAGCCAAAAATGATGCGCAAGCCACATTACTCCTTAGCCACAAGCCACGATAGGAGAGGTGGATGTCACCAGCCACACCTCGCAAGTTTGGTCTTCCGACAGAGTATTACATCGACCCTCATCCTCTGGAGTCTCCTCACAACGACGTTTCATCCTCTGGTCGCTGCCCCCCTGCGATTTTTAACCTCCTGTCACCAAAAAGCTTGGCTTCCCTCTCGTCTGAACCCTGGCCTACTATTGCTCATCAAAATGATCGCCCCTGAGACTTATCCTATTCGCTCGATGCCCTGCCCAATGGCCCATCTACCGGGAGAAGCTGGCTCATCCTCAATCTTAGGATACGGAGATCTGGTGCGGTGAGCTTGTGGGAGAGCAATACATGTCAACCGTTGAATAAGATTGATCGCCGCCTCTATCAGAAACATCCCCGCGATCTGTCAACATCTCTATCCGTACAATAAGCCCAGACCACACACTACGCAATCCCGCATCATTACCTACGAATACCTACAGGCTACCACAGCACGAAGTAGAGGCTGGTCACATCGAGCTTCGGTTCCTGGCCGCCGAGGAAAAGCGACGATGTTCCATCGCGACCGCGAGAACCACACCGTGGCCGAAGCCCGAAACGCCTCCTCCATCTCCTGGTCGCTCCTGGTGCGACCAGTTTCGGGACCCAGCCGGACCAGGCACGGTTGATCGCGCCCGCCCACCTTCCGGCCCCCTTGACGATAGCTCACAGTCGTTGTAATAAGGAGAGAGCGGCATTGGGAACAAGGGCTATCTCTTCGGTATCGGTAGGAGTATTCTACGGACCACCGGCGATAGACTCGTCAACCCGGTGGCTCACGGGCCTTCAATGACGCGGCCGTGGTGGAATACTCGGCTACCACGGCAAGCATTATCGGTTCATCTCAAAATCAACGGTTCATTACTGGATTGACACGATAAGGCTTACAGTTCAAACATCGCCATGGAAGACTAAGGAGATATTTGCTACTAGTGCCCCCGTCGCAGATACTACCAAATTACCAAGACATCGCCAAACGCCAATACTAAGCCACAAAACACCAATGAACCTGTCTCGCTCCTGGGAGTATCGCATCGGCGCCCTTGAATGAAAATCAAACCAACCATTCCGTGCCATTATTCCGTCACTCGCTGGCCCCAGTATCGTGGCAACTTGCCCTTGGCCCATAGAGCCACCTCAGTAAACGCCAGATACATGCCTGTAAAGAACCAGAAAGTCATGACGACGCCGAAGCCGCCCACAAGCTTGGCATCTACTATTCTGCCCACTACAACGTCACGCATAGCGTTGTTCATGAGCAGCCAGCTGTATACTGGTACAAGCTGGCTGGCTTGCATGGCGATGGACGAACGCTGATGGGTAATCTGGGCCTTTTCTCGCTCTCGCTCTTCAATGGTGTCAACCATCCTCCAGGCGACTTGATTGTTAATCTTCTCCCAAGTAGCCTCGCACGCCATCGCTCGAGCCTGCGCGGCCATAGCCTCCCGACAGTCTCTGTCTTTTGAGAGGTACATGACCTTGTCGACAAATGTATCCAGGTCGTCGGGTGGTACAAGGTATCCCGAGCGGTCATTGTCGATGATATCGCTTGGCCCGCCCTCATCGCGAGCGACTACCGGAACGCCGCTTGCCATGGACTCCAGGACGACCAAGCCAAAGGTTTCGGTGACAGAGCAGTGGAGGAAAATGTCGCCCGATGCGTACGCCGCCGCCAGGTCGTCTCCGATCTTGAACCCGGCGAATATGACTTTGCCTTGGTCCCTTAGAGGGTCAAACATCTCGTGAACCTCTCTTTCGACTTCTGTGTTACGGTTCCCGCCCACGACATAGAGCTTGAAACGGAGGCCCCTTGCATCGAGTTCCTTTACTGCCTTGGCGAGGAAATCAAACCCCTTCTCACCCGCCACCCTGGATACACATATCAGAATGATCTCTCCATTCGGCGCAATCTGCTTCCTCAACGCCTCGCTGCGCATTTCTGGTCGGAACACCTCTGTTTTGACGCCTCGTCGGAGCACCTCAAGCTTGGAGCTCTGGACCCCCTGGGCCTCGAGATACTTGCGCACGAAGCGTGAGGGGTAGAAGATGGTCTTGATCGATTCGTGCTGGAACAGATAGCTCTGGACCATGGCGAAGGCGAAGACGGCCATGGTGCTAAACGGATGAGGGAAGAGGATGGCGCAGTACCCGGCCAGGTCGGTCTGAAAGTTGCAGATCACCGGCACCCGTCTCTCTTTTGGCTGTTGTTGGAGCTGCAACATGACCTGGAAGCCCAGTGACGCCGGCGAGGCGAGGTAGATCAGGTCGGGCGGGCTGTCCGACCCAAAGGTTCTCGCGAAGAGGGCCGATACTCGCACGGGGTAGACGACAGAGAGCTCAGGGTTGAAGGGCAGCGGGTATCCCTGAAGGCGCACTTCGACCTGACCGTCATCTTCTGTTGCGGGAGAGAAGGTGTTGTGCTGGGTGTGGTTGTGTGGCGCCACGACGGCGACGAGTGCGCCGTGGGATCGCAGGTGTTCGACAAGCATCAATGTCGTCCGGCTGACGCCGTTGACGGGGCCAAAGGATTCTGTGCAGAGCAGAATGCGCTTGCCTCGTAATGAAGATGGGAATACGGAGTTGTCGTGAGCTGGGTACCGTGGCATGGTGCCGTAGCTCTTGGGTAGAAGTGGTTCTGCCATTGCCGGTGGCTACGATACCTAGGCCAGTTGCAATGTCAGCTGGATTCACACTCCCATCAGAGGGCCTGCATTTTACCGAAGAATCGCTCGAAAGTCTCGCAGCGACGGTCAGTATGGCCTGTCACTAATCGTTGGTGTGTCGATGGATCCCAGGTCTTGCGTGCAGAGGAAGGGAGACGATGGCGTTCGCCGAGCATGAGGGAAATGCGCCATAGACGGCGCTTGGCCTTCTGATATCTCCTTCGCCCATGGCTGCGATGTTCGGACTGCAGATGATGCGTACAGGTCAAGCGACCTAGATGTCTCACCGTGCTAGGCCTGCTATCACGCAGGTACCTGTGATGATGTGTGGCGGGGGAGGGGCAGACGAGACTCGAATGAAAGAGCCTGTCGATGTGTCGCGCTGGACCACATGGCAAGCTTCTCTGGCCGACCGCAAACGTAGTGGGGGCGGGGCAACTCATTAAAGATTGTCGGGTGCATCGCTGCAGGGTCCAGAAGCCGATTCCGGTTGCGTGTGGAATTGTTCCCGAATTATTCTTCTTTGATGGTTGGTGCCTGTGGCTGAGACTGGTGAGACCACATCACGGGAACTATGAAGCGGCCACCATTTCCCTGAACCTGTCAGATATTTGAAGATTATGTTTATGCTCTCTTCATGTCCGTGAAGGTCTGGTCGATGTCGCAAGTCTGATATGCACATCTGAAGCCGCATAGCTGAGGGGCGAGCATTGCTATCAAGTCCCTGCTGACGATCAACGATGGGATCAAGCAAAACTAATCCCGCATTCAAGCTCAAGTGGTTCCAGAGAGTCCCCAAGCCAAGCTTTCCACCTGCTCATCTTTTTTTTTGGGACACCTGTTTTCGTACAAGCTGAAGTGATACAAAATTCACAAATCGCGAGACATCAGGTCAACGGCCAATGAGAAGCCCGGAACGCGGCACATTTCCGCTTCGGTGGATGAGAACCAATCAGCGAGACGGCGACACCTTTCTTAAGTTACCAACACGATTGAAAGGTCACATTGTCTAGTTGTTTGTCAAAGATTGGCCACATGACAAGTTTCTGATTCATACACTTGGGAAAAGGTCGCCGAAAAGGCGAATCGCGGGCTGTGTACAGATGCTCGTGGTCCCTCCGGTTGGGTGAGGTTTATCGACGACCTCTTTTCCACGATTTACACATTCTGGTGTAGATTCCACGGCTATCTCGTCCAAGCCTGACGAATCGTGGTCTTTCGCCTGCACGATTGGCCCTTTACAAGGATGCAATTCGCTGAATTCCCATCGCCCATGCCGGCTCGAAGTGCTATCAGTTGGAGGGGTCATCGTAGTGGGGGAGGGGCCATCGTGATGTTCTCGACGGAGATCTCATGGCCACCTGCTTTGATACTCGACGATAAGCCGTGCTGCTGTCAACTCGTAGCTATGCATTCGTTGGCAACTTGCGATACGCTCAGCCGCTATCGGGATCAAAGTACAAGCTAGCATTCTCGTCGACCCGACCCTACAAAGGTCATATCGACGCTGCCATTCCTCATGTTCAGACGTCGCATGAACTCTTTGCCTGAAGCTCTTTATGCCCTATTACACCTCCAATCTACATACGATCCATCCCACGTCTAGCTATAACCTCCATCTCCCCAGCTTACAGCACACATCTGCTCGGAAACCGGCAACTTTGACCGCCGCGCCGCGTCTCCTCGATCACCACCACCCTACATTGACGCGCGTCAAGCTCTTGAAGCTGATAAAGGGCCCATCGCTCATCGCTCATCGCCCATCACTGGCCTTTAGTACAGTAAAAAGCTCGATCATCAGACGGGCGGTTGCTAAATCGAGCACCGGCGCGCCCTGAAAAGCCACGTCAGATCTACAGCCAGACCGGTTCGTTCCCGCACGGCCGCCACCGTTTGGGGGACCTTGCCTAATTGAAGATAGTGAAACGAACGCCCTTTTTTACCATCGGACGAAATCACCAGCTTGCTAGTGGATAGCGAGGGCGGGTTTGGGTATTGCGTTTTTCGGATTGAAGCGATTTGGGCTATATACAGATCGGATTCTGAACACCAGAGAGAACGATAGATGGGACAGGATCTGTCTGAAGTACTTGATTACGGCTGCGACAATGGCGGATGTTTACGATATCAACACTGTCATTGGGGACGAGGATGCGGATGAGAGAGCGTCTACAGTTCCCACGACGCCTGAGGGCAGTTGCACTTTCAGTCCTGTTGTCAGAGCGGCGAGCCGGCTGGTCATTGACGGCGACGAAGCTGGCGAGGATGTGTTTCCTCAACTGGACACGAAGGCCGAGGAGGTCAGCTTAACTGGCAATATTGGCAGCAGTCCGGTTCGCAACATCTGTTGTGTAGGTGCTGGCTACGTGGGTAAGTTGTGTTCTCGGGATGTATGATTCTCTGTTATCAGGAAAGTTAACCTTTGATTCAGGAGGGCCCACGGCGGCGGTCATCGCGTTCAAGAATCCTCACATCCGCGTTACGATTGTGGATAGAGATGAGCGCCGGATTAGGAGGTGGAACTCGAAGCATTCTCCCATCTATGAGCCTGGGCTACGAGATATCGTAAGAGTCGCGAGGGACGGCACCAAGGAATATTCAACGCCAGTCTCTAGTGATTCCGTCAAAATGGACCGCCACCAGACTTTCTCGCCATCCTCATCAGTCACATCTGAGTGCGGAAGCCAATGTGGTGAAAACAGCATCAGCAGTATCTCGATCCCTCATAGGCAGCCGAATCTCTTCTTCTCGACAGACGTCCCAAGATGCATCTCAGAAGCGGACGTGGTTCTCATCGCAGTAAACACCCCTACAAAGACGCGGGGTCACGGCGCCGGCAGCGCGACAGACATGGCGGCCTTTGAGGCCGTCACCGCCGAGGTCGCCAGACACGCGAGACCAGGGGCAATAATCGTAGAAAAGTCCACCGTACCATGCCGGACTGCAGAGCTTGTGCGAGAAACAGTGAGTCCACATCACCGACGAGCGAGCTCACGAAGTACGTCAACAGGGTGGCTAACACAGCATCTCCAACAGCTCGCCGCCCATCGACCAGGCGTCCACTTTGAAATCCTCTCCAACCCAGAGTTCCTCGCCGCCGGCACAGCAGTAAACGACCTCCTGCACCCAGACCGCGTCCTCATCGGCGCAGACACGACGCCCTCTGGTCATCGCGCAGCCGAGGCGCTGGCGAGTGTATACGCCGCCTGGGTCCCACGCGCACGCATCCTCACGACGAATGTCTGGTCCTCTGAGCTCGCGAAGCTAGTCGCCAACGCGATGCTCGCGCAGCGGATAAGCAGTATAAACTCCATCAGCGCAATCTGCGAGCGGACGGGCGCGGATGTGGGTGAAGTTGCTGCCTCCGTCGGCCGGGACCCGCGTATCGGGGATAGATTCCTGAAAGCGGGTATCGGATTCGGGGGTAGTTGTTTCAAGAAGGATATCTTGAGTTTGGTGTACCTTGCCGAGTCGCTTGATCTCGACGAGGTTGGAGAGTATTGGCGGCAGGTTGTCAAGATGAACGAGTACGCCCGTGAGAGGTTCACGAGGCGCGTGGTCAAGTGTCTCAATAATACCCTGGCCGGGAAGAAGATTACGGTCCTTGGGTATGCTTTCAAAAAGGATACGTCAGATACGAGGGAGTCGCCTGCGCTGGAGATTATTCGGGCGCTGTTGGAGGAGGGACCACGGGAGATTGCGGTGTTTGATCCGTGCTGTAATCCCCTCGTGATTCAAGCGGAGATCCAGCAGCTCTGTGGCCTACAGACGACAATGTCGAAGGACGACGGAGGTGGCGCTGGACCCTTGATTGTGTACGGGAACGCGTACGACGCTTGTCGTGGTAGTAATGCGGTTCTCATCACCACCGAGTTTGACGAGTTTCGGAACACGGGCGAGCTCGGTGTCAGGGATACGCCGGGTTCTGCGCATTCTGATCCTTCCTCTCCCCGCGGAAGCACGACATTGCGGGCGGCGGAGGCGGTGGGTCGAGGGCTTCGGCAGCCGGATGTGAGACCTGCGCTGGGGGAGGGGGAGATGGGCGCGGCGACTTTGGATGATCCGCTTGGGCGATACGTTGCTGAGCCTGCTTGTGCGGGAGATTGCCCGGATTGTCGGGTGGAGGAGAAGTCGGAATGCAGGGTTTCGGGATCGGAAGAAGGGAAGACGGCCAAGGAGAGGGTTGACTGGGAGAGGGTGGCGGGCGATATGCAGGTTCCGAGGTGGGTGTTTGATGGGAGGGGGGTGATTGATGCTGATGAGATGGCCAAGCTGGGGGTTCGAGTTGAGAGTGTTGGGAGACGGGGGAGGAATTGAGATTTTGTCTTCTTAAGGAACCGGCAGAAGAAGTATAGACTATATCTTACCTAATACTTTATGAGATAAAATGAGTGGTGTAAAGAAAGTCATGGTCTAGAGAAGCTGTCGTGAGAGACAATGAGCCAAGTTCGCAAGAGTCTTGTCAAACCGACCACCACCTATCAGGAACCCATCCTCAAAGCTAGCGATAGCTATTTGGGAACTGACTCAAATGGCAAGGGCAGAACCAGTGCCGACATGAACGGAATAAAGTCCGCGAGCACCAGCAGCTGCGTCCTGGAGGCTTACTTCGCTTACCTCAATGCGCATCTGATGCGTGTGCTCTTCTCTTCGTCCCATCCTCGAGTTGCCGTTTCACGTCGAAAACTTGAGATATTTCTTTCTCATCATCCCAAAGGAACTCCTCACATCCGGCTCGTGAGTTCGTCTGAGGATCGTGCAGAAGGGAGATTGCAGGTTCTAGACTCAGAATTCTCACCATGAGCTGCATTGCATGCCAACTTCACTGCTTTCTCGCCTTCCCACTGACTGCTTCCTCTCACTGCTCATCATCTACTTTTACGGCTATCAACTATATCATTCCGGCCACAAGTTCAAGCAAATAAATACTGTTTCAAAACCTGGCGGGGCACTAGTAAAATAAACATCAATAAGCTCGTCATCAACGCAGAGCCTCAGTTACCATCTGCTACGTGCATCGACTGACTCTCCTGATTCCACCATACTGGACTGTTTCTGATCGCCAGAGTCCCCATTCCATGGAAAACCACAGGGGGATGGACCATGTCCGCGGCCATCGTGATGCATTGCGATTGGCGAGTCGGCGCGGTCTGTTCGCGTTTCACGTTGCACTCTTCCCACCCAGCGCGCACGAGTCTCGCGTCTCAGTCAGGAGCCCAGGACTTGGGCACATGGGGCATCGAGGAGCCGTGGAGAGAGGGAGAGAGAGGATGTGAGTAGGGATTGTGCCTCCCCTTGTTCCCCTCTTTCCAACCTCTCCCCATGCGATGGTTTTGTTTCCGAGACATGTAAGACGAGTCGTTCGAACCCAGAATTTGCCAGTTTCGGTATGAAGCCGTCTTGCGTTCCTAACCAGCTCACCTTTTCTCACGCACACTACCCCTTGTGCCTCATCTTGCCCCCCTCCTGGTCCACAACTTTCTTTTAGAGTATTCTGCACCGTCTTGAAGCTTGATAGGCTTGCCGGCGCGCGCCGGGTGGCCAATTTCGTCAGGTCCGGGGTAGTATGCACTGGGGGTGTTTGGTTTTCCTTCCGTCCAACCTTTTTTTCCTTTCCCTTCTGAAGCTTGAGCTGCTGTTTCATCCATGTGTGCTGTGTGCGGGAAGCGGCTGCGTCCTGAGTCTGAGGATTTGGTGTGTGAGGGACGGCATGGAGGGAGAGATGTGACTGTCTGATATAGGTGTTGAGGCTTGGAGTACCTCTTTCTCCTTTGGATGATGTGAGGATGATCTTTTTTCTATTGATTTTGCGTGTGCTTGCATCGTGACTTTGCCATAATTTTGCGACCAGCGAGCGAAAGGAGTTGATTCTCCTATGCGTCCTACGACACCTAATCATCGACCTTGAGAGTTTTCATTTCGTGCCTTGCCGAGAATACTTAGGACCAGACAGGATGAGAGGAACAGAGGCATCAGTTCTGGTCCTCTCGGGCCTCGCGGTGCTAGCGGGCGCCAGAGAGGTCCAGGTCGACGACGTCCCCGTCGAATGCGCAACAATATGCGGGCCCATCGTCGAGCTCACCTTCAAATGCGACGTTGACAACACCTTCGACGAGCTCAAGAGACTAAAGAGGAGGAAAGTCGACGCACCGCAATACAGACCGCCGCCAGAAAGACGACACGCGAAAAGACCATCACCAGCAGGCGCACACGGAGTCGTTCGCCGCCACCACCACCGCAGACCAAACCAAAACGACGCGGTCGAGGCATCAACACCCGGCCTAGACGAGCCTCAAGCTACAAACGTCGCACAACAGCCTCCTCAAGATGCGCAACAACCTGCACAAGACGCGCAGCAGCCGGCCGTGGACGCTACACCCGGCTTCATTGCCACGCTGCCCTTTTCTGCCCCCGCACCGGAGATTCCGCTGAGCACAAATACGCCGGATGCCCAGAACACACCTACACCTTCGGCGCCGCCTCCTCCTCCACCACAGGCGACGCCATCAATAGATCCTCCGCCACAGGTACCGCCGCCTGTGCCTGTCTTGATCACATCGACTGTGTTCCTGACTGTGTCGGCGCCGACGATACCCACTCCGGCGCCACCACCGCCGCCTCCCCCGGTACAGGCTCCCCCGCCCGTCCAGGCCCCACCTCCGGTGCAAGCTCCGGCCCCGATTCAAGCCCCGCCTCCGGCCCAGCCGCCTCCGGTGATCACAGCCCCGAGACCTCAACAACCGCCACCACCTCCTCCGCCATCATCAACATCAAGGCCCACGCCTCAGCAACCTCCAGCCCAACAACCGCCGCCACAACAGCAGCCTCAGCGTCCGCCGCCACCACCGCAAGAGCAACCCGCTCCTTCATCATCTCAGCAAACCACACCTCCGATGCTCCAGCCGACACCGTCACAGCAGCTTCAGCCTCCACAAGCGTCTATGAGCAACCCGGCTGCGATACCGATCATGGGGCCGGGCCCGGAGAAGCAGCCGGATAACAAGTCGCCTAACGACCGTGAAGAAGCCGAGAAACAGTGTACTTGTTCAAACAAGAGCTTCGACGTGCAGTTGCTGGCTGGGTTGTGTCAGAGCTGTATCCGGAAGACTGGAAACCGAGCAAACAGTGAGTGCAATATTCTCCTACTACTCCTTACCATTAAAAGAGGGGCTTGATTGGTTTTGAAACACGGACTGACGGGAGATAGACCTGGACTTCATCATGAAGGAGTGCAACTTTGTGGAATCGACATATACACCTGATCAAGATCGGCTCGTCGATACTATCCGCGTCGTCGCAGAGAAGCCGTTTTTGACGTCCAGCGGAAACGTCATGGCTGATGCTGGTAGAGTAGGGGCCGGATGCGCTGCTGCTATGGCGGTGGCTGTTAGTCTTGTGGCTGGGATGGCGATGCTTCTCTAAAGCGTCGTCGCGTAACTTATCTGGAGTGGGAATGGAGTAAAAATAATGATATCCTGGGTGGATCTGGTTGATGGCCCGGAGTACGGTCTTGCTGGTTATGGTTTGTCCAGTTTGGAAAAGAAGAAGAGAAGACTCAGACTCATCTAGTCGTCACGACTTACATTAGTAGGCCAATAATGAGAAAGAACTCCGCGCTATGTCGCCGGCCTATGGTTCGAGGTAAATATTCGGGCAAGCTTGTACTGCTAAGTTGTCATCACACATGAAAGCCATGGTAGTGTCGCAGAGCAACAGCCGCCAATTCGCATCAACCTGTGTGCTAATCTGTCTCTGTCACCTTCATATCTGGATCGAAGTTGAAGTGTTCAAACCACTGGCACTTTGATAAATGATCTCTTACATCCATGTCATTTTACTCAGCCTGGGCGTATTTCTAGAGACGAAGCGACGAAGACTTTATGCCGATACGCACAAGTAAACGGAGACACTAATTGGTTGAGCTTAAAATGTACTTCATGTTGACCCAGAGATGCTACACCCGAAGCGTATGCCAAAAGAGCGCCCATGAACTTGGTAAAGAATGTTTTCCATGAAAAATAAAGTCTGACCATCCTATCACTAGAATAGACCGGTCAGTCACCATCTTAATTCTGATGTGCAAGCCTTTTTCTACTGTATTTAATGCACCTTCAACATGTCTAGCGGCTCATTTCTTCCCTGAGGGCATTTCGTCAACTGAGAGGGACCACTACGATCACAAACAACAAAGGTTTTGAGTCTTGCAGACTTCATCCAGGTCGAAATGGTCGTGTAAATGTCGTAAATCAATTTCCGGCACTTATTGGCTCCTAGTTATCGGATGAAAGTTTGAGCGGGGGAGACGATGGAATTCCGCAGCAGTTGTCTTGCTCATCAGGCAACAGGATGCGGCCACCCTATTCTTGGCCGCTGGTTTGCATTGCCTCGTTTCCGCCTCCCACCACAACTATAAGTATCACACGAATGCCCTCCGAAATTCTGTCCTACTAACTGGCATCAAGTCAACTCAATCGCCTCTCATTTACTCTCTTCTTGTCTTTTCCCCTCTTCTCGTCGAATCTCACCAATTATTACACTCGTTCAGGTCTCGTCTCGTAATTTCCCCACTACAGCCAAGTTCCCAATACACTCATATCAGCGAGACCACGAAACTCATCGAAAATGTCAGACATTGCCCACAACAAGGAGTACCATGTGCGAGACTTGGCCACTCGATCCGTCACACTCTATCCCAACAGTGCCCAGCTCGTAAGAGACTTGCGCAACCTACAACTGAAGGTGAGGATACCTGTGTCCCCTGCGATGTCTCGTCCCACAACTGACTGGAAACTAGCCCGGCGCTAACGAGATCACCATATTCGGTCTTACACCCACAATTGATGAGTCTACAATCAAGGTAGACGGGGCCGGCTCAGCCATCATTACCGACATCGCCATTGAGCTTGTTCCCAACCGCGAGAGCTTCCAAGATGTCTATCCTGACTCCGATGACGAAATGTCGGATGCCGATGTCCCTCCCGAAGAAGACGGAGAAGATGAAGAAGAATCCGAGGAGAAGGAACCTTCGGCCCTCGACAAAGTGCGAGCCCGGATCAGACAGCTGAGAGACGAGGAGCGCAGCGCCAAAGAAGTCGTCGAAAGCGCAGCCAATCGTCTCAAGATCCTCGATGCTCACGGAGCTTCGCTCGAGAGCAAAGAAGGCGTCAACATCGCTGACAGCATCGAAACGTACCGAGCCGAGCGAGAACGAATCTTCCAAGACCACGTAGCCGGAGTCACCCGCGGACAGGACAACATGAAGCGCCTCAGCATCGCTCTCAAGCAAGAAACTCGGCTCGTGAAGAGACAAAAGAGAGAGGCGGCAGACGTGACTCGTGCAGCGAAGAAAGCCCGCAAGGAGCGGGACAGGCAGGCGCAAAAGGATGCCAGGGAGAAAGCGAAGTTACAGAAGGAGAAGGCTCGAATTCGGGCGGAGCGGGAGCGCTTCTGGCCTAAGCTGTGTTACTCTGTCCGGGTGTCTCTCGAGGTTATGGCTTTCACCCCATCATCCTCCCGTCGTACATCGGTATCGAGTGAGACGGCCCAGGCCTGGACACCAGCTCCTGATAGGTCCGACGAAGGAAAAGACATCAAGTGCGACTTGTCACTGTCATATGTGACATCTTCCGCATTCTGGGCTCCGAGCTACGACTTGCAGTTGTTCACCACAAACAACACCGGCATATTGTGCTACGACGCCCGCATCACCAACAAGACTTCCGAGACGTGGAGCAACTGCAAAGTTGTCCTTTCGACTTCTCAAGCCACATTTGCCGGACTCGAGAACGCCATACCTATTCTGAAGCCTTGGAATATCAAGTTGGCGCCAAAAGAGGGCAACACGAACGGGACGGACATCCTTTCCAGTAGGGAGGAACGTCAGCAACGAAGTGAATGGTGGCGTGCCCAACAGACCAAGGCACAGCCCCAGAAACCTCGCAGCGATTTATTCGGTGTAGACCACAACAACGCCGGCAACAGCGCCGCGAATCTGGCCGATTATCAGCAGAGTCTGATGGTACTTAACCAAGATTCGAAGCACCGACGAATGATGTACCCAGCACAAGGGCAAGGCCAGGCACAGCATCAGGCTCAAATACAAGCGCAAGTGCAGGCACAACAGATGCAGCAGATGCAGGCGCAACAAATGCAGGTGCAACAGATGCAGCAGATGCAGCAAATGCCCCAAATACAGCGACCAGCCCATGTAGAGCGAATGCTGCTAGGTGGATCAAGACGACAGGAGCCAATTCAAGAGCCCATGGGATCTGAAGCGTCCGAGGAAGACGAAAACCTCGATTTCCAAGAGTCTACTGTCGAAGAGACGGGATTCACCACAACCTACGACCTCCCAGGCACAAAGACGCTGCCACCTCGTCCTACGGCATCCAAGCAACGTGTCGCCCGGATCAACTTCTCCAACATCGCCTTCAGCCATACCATCATTGCGAAGTACAAACCCGTTGCGTACCTCAAAGCACGAATCCGAAATAGCAGCCGCCTCACTTTGCTCCGGGCCGAAGCAGGTCTCACTCTCGACGGCACCTTCATGGGTCGCACCCACTTGCCGCGCTGTAGCGCCGGCGACGTCTTTTCCCTGGGTCTCGGCATCGACCCGGCGATCAAGGTCAACTACCCCAAGGTTGACGTCCGACGAACGACGACAGGGCTCTTTTCCAAGGAGAACAGCTCTGTGTACAGTCGCAGCATCACGGTTTTCAATTCCCGTGCTTCGGCGGGTAAACCCGTCTCACTCCTTGTGCTTGACCAGGTTCCCGTGTCGGAAGACGAGCGTCTCAAGGTCGATATCTTGGCGCCCAAGGGGCTCGTTGTTGATGGCTCAGGGGTGTCGACCGGGCAGCCCGCTCGCGAGAGTAAGCAGGATGTCGACTGGGGTCAGGCGACGGCAACGTTGAAGGGGCGTCAAGGCCAAGTGGAGTGGCAGGTGAAGCTCAATGCTGGCAAGGCTGTGAAGCTTGGCTTGGAGTATGTCGTTGCCCTCCCCACAGGAGATTCGGCAATGGAATGCTCATAGCCGTTACTTGGCGATAGTTTCAGAAGATTGATCGACGAGGTTTGTAGGATGGAAATGTCATCTTCTTGGGTCCATGTGTGTAATGTGGAGGTATTTTGGGCTGAGAGTTGGAGTCTTTTCTGGGCAGTGTACGTGCTTTACTTTCAGGGGAAGACAACTTTCCATAAAGAATTATATGAACTGTTCACAATTACCTTCCGCATTGTAAGATCATCCTCACGTCGAGGTCGAAGCGGCGGATACAATTGCCTACAAAGAAGAACCCCGAATACAGTTCTAGCATACGACAAAGCTTCATCGGCACGTCGCCGAATTGAGCCGCCGGAAACTTAAGCCGGAGAAAGGGTCCAGAAGCTCTTGTGGAAGAAAACAAATTGCTCTATTCGGATTAGACGTTACCCGGCGGATTATTACCCTTTGCCTCCTCAGCCACTTTGCTAACAATGCTCGCTTAATTATCGCCGACAATGTCAAACAAGTCGGAGATTTCGAGCGGAACCAAAAGAAGGGTGGGCATTTGATACGAACCAGAGCTTGACTTCGGACGGAATTGAGACCTTTGGAAAGTTAATCAGCTCTTACCTAATGTTTCCACATTTCCGATTCTAGCATTTCATGGTAAACAAGTTGCCACCAATCATCAGACCAGGCCTTCCAGGCCCAAAGGGTCCGAGTCCTAGAGCATGCAACTTATGCCTCGCATCGTTGACGATTCTGGTATTTTGCAATTGTCGGGCATAAAACCAACGAGAGGTGATTGAAGAGACATAATTGCGAGTTGAGTCTATGGCATGAGACGATGGCCTCCTTTAGCCTGGGTAGTACCAAAACAGAAGGGGACGGATAGGGGGCGAGGGCTGACGCCCTGGCGCAAGGACTGTCAACGCGGGCTATACGCTAGTATCTCAGTGGTCGCATGAATCCGTCAATCAAACGCTTTTATTTTAGATCTTTCTATTCATATGATTTGTTTCCGCAACTCTGTGCTCAGCCCCCAAGATAGACCACGAAACCGACTGAGCAACTAGCTATACCCTTATTCTCCAAACACCATGCGGCCTGCTGGTAATTAAGTTCCAAGTGTCTCATACAATGATAATTCTCGACGCCACCTGAATGAAGTCCAAAGCTACTCAGTCTCGACTTTAAGGATAGGGGACTTTAATCGCTCGCCACGACGAGGCCGGCGGCAAGGCCGAGGAAACAAATTGTTTCGCAGCCGCAAGTGAATCTTTTTGAAGTGTTCTCGCTGCAAGTCGTGTTAGCCCAAGTTCTTAAACAAAGTTTACTTTCGTAAATTGAATGTGCAACATGAAGTAAATGCGGGCGCAACGTACCATATTGTCTTTTCGACTAAAGATCCTCCCACAATCTTGATGGGGACACTTGATCGTCGGCCTGTGGGAGCCCATATGTCGCTGATAGTCCTTCCGAGTCGCAAATCCCACACCGGCATTTGCACAAGGCTTCTCCGTGCAGAAAAAGTATTTATCGTGTCCACGAAAGTGTTTCCTCAGGTCGCACGCACGCATGAATACGCGTGAGGATCGACACCCCTCAAACTTGCAGCGCCAGTTGCCGCTGGCGTCGAGATAACCCATCCGGCGAAGGTCTTCCGGCTCCCAGACCTCCTCCTCGCGTTCTTCTGCCGGGCTCTGAGAGCCCTCGCTGGAGCTCAGAAGCTCCCAGCTGGGCGACGGCACCGCTGCCTGCATCATTGGTGGTGTTGAGTGCGCGAGAATATGCGTGTTGCTGGCCTCGACCAGATGGTTGGGATCGTAGTGTGACATGGCGCCGGAGGTCGTGCCTAGATATGGCAAAGGCTGATAGATGGGGGCGACGGAATCTGGATGCAACGTGGGCTGAAACCATTCTCCGGTGTAGGTAGAAGAAGGCCCCATAGTGTATGAGCAGTCCATGCTTCGCGGCTCAGCTTCGGGGAAGGGGCTCAGTTCATTGTGGCTGTTATGGCTTGGGCCGTACTGCAAATATGGCTGCTCCATGGTGCTTGATATTTTGTCGTATGTTGTAGAAAAAGTTGCCATCCAGTGGACAATCTCGAAACTGACGGTGATGAATGATTCGCACAAGTATGGCCGCAACGGATGAATGTCGAAAAGAGGCCGATAGCTCCGAGTTAAAGAAATCTGCCTACCGGACGAAAGCGACGGAATTGTCAGCCGTGATATATATCTGGTGGTGATAAACTCTATTGTAGAGCCCTTGTCAATAGTATCGCGCCGGTATAGTCTTTTGGGGGTGCTGTTTCAGCAGTACGTACTGGATCTACCCAACTCCCACAACTCTCGGCACCCTGCTTTTGGCCGCCGAGATGTTCGGCCCCGGTGACGCCTGGGCAAAATTGTCGGCAGCAAAGCGTGGGTGCGACCACACGGCAAGTATTCCTTTGGTCTCGTTGCAATATCACTAAGTGGTGTGGCCCATGAATGGGCTGGCCCGGTTCCCCCGGTCCGGGATCTCCCCCGTGAAATGACGCTTGGATTCCCCAGTACCACGGCTTGACAGACTATGTAGGCTAAGTCCCCTGTCAATGTCAGTGTGTTCACATAGGGCTCGAATCCATCTCCCTCGAGTGGATGGGTTTGAGTCCGAGGGCAGTATCACCGTAGCATCAAAGTGACACACTCGAGCTCGTAAACGACATATCGTAATACTGACCATCTTTCTTTGGACTCATTGGTGATGTTAGCACTTGTCTACTACTGGACGTAATTGGATCAACAGGCTTTTCCTGCGTCATCACGCTCATATACAAGAAGCACAAGCCGTTGAATCTTGTCAACCAATTTCTTGACTTCAATCCATCTCTGTCAATCAAGTGGGTCATTTAATTGACATTCATTGAAATACCAGAATCTGCATCCGGTGCAAAGGCGCTGTCTTCACACTAACCCAATTTCCTGAAGATCAAGCGAGGACATTCTACTTCCAGATGGGTCATTGTTACCAAGTTTACTCTATCTCGAGATATTCTTGGCATTGCATTGGAATCCAGGAGAAGACTAACCAGGAGCAAGCAAAGCAGCTAAAAAAATGCCCTACCGATGTCCAACATACATAAATTGAGGTAGACAGCGGGTACATTGACTACATCGAGACTCCTCAAGCAAGGATTCCTTACGTTAAACGCTATAGTCAAGTAAATATGGATGAGTCGAAGCGACAATGTTGCGAACTAGAGTAGTGGAGGCAGTATCTTGGGGGGGTGAATACCAGTTTGATCAGAAACTCGGTTTCGCATTCAATCTCGCTGAGCATTGCGTGCAATCGTTACACGAGTCCTTTGTACTTCTTCAGTGATCCTAGGATCACATACGTGTGATGAGATACCATGAGGCATACCTGGAACTTCTGAGCAAGACATGTGTCGTGCTTTAACACCAAGACCGTGAGATTTTATCGAACACTTAGTCCTACATCAGCGGGACTTCTTCAGCCAGACCGAAGTACGATTTTAGGCCAGTACAATTATTACAGCCTGCAACATCCCCCTGGTATCCATGAGTGCGATCGGCGGAGTGCCATCCCCCTTCCTGTCTCTTGATCCACGGGACCGACAATGGCCTGTACGAGCCCGATAATTATCCAAGAAGTGCCGACCCACTAGTCTCAATCTATAACCTTCACTTCATTTGAGAGAACTCTATGCGAGCATTACAAATTTGCGCGACTTGTGCGGAAATTCGTCCAAAAGAGAATAAACCCCCTTGACGCGGGAGCGAACTACAGGCCGGCCTCGAGTTCCCGGAACCCGTGGAAGCCTACAAAATGTTGAGACGGACCTGATAAGCAGCTCTCGAACATGTACGCGATTTGACAAAAAATTCGCGATGTCTCTTGCGAACGGTGGTTCCGCCTGCTTTCCCTCCGTAGACATCGGCAGTTGCAAATTCTCGTCCGATATTCGGCCACGGCCTCGCAGATCCGGTCTCCCGGGGGGCCTGGAAGCCCCGGACGTTGCACTTAACGGCTGCTCCGTTATTGGATCATGCGGGTGGTTTGCATTGCGACTGGCTCCTGAAAGCTGTCATTAGTCCCACTGATGGGCTGGGGGACCTTGTTCGACTCGCTTGTCTAAGTCGGGTAGAGTTTCGAGTTGCATCTGGCAAGTTTACCAGAATTATCTCCAACCTGTTTTTGGAGAGCGGCTGCATCAGCTTGCAATCATCAATTGCCTCTCTTGGATGTTTGCAACGTGCCCTGGTCTCGATGAATGTCTGCGGTACGTTGTCGCTGCTTCTCGAAATGGTCTAGGTGGTTGAGACCCTTGCGGCGATGCCTTTGCCATGACTCAGGAAGAACATTGTCCAACGAGGCTTTAACTCGCGGGGTTGATATGATATTGTCATCATCTCCGCAGATGTCTCACGTAGTGGACAAATCATCCGACTCTACAAAAGCATGAAATAGTTTTCTCACTCATTTGGTTCTATGATAGTCAACGGTAACATTTAAACTTCAGAAAGCTCCAGGAAAGAGAGTGATTGTGTTTGTATGGTCGCCACGAGGGCTGTTGGATGAATAATGATGGTTTATAGGCATTCAGAACCCGACTCAAATGGAAGACCCGATGGTGATTTTCTTCACGGGCCATGCCTGATTCGTTACATTTTTTACTCCGAGTCTCTTATTACTTTCTCGAAGAGTAGCGAATGTTAGCCACTTCTCCATTCGATAAGATGAACGTTCGTGACTATTTCAAACAGACCTTCATCAGGTGACCCATCAATAATGCAGAAAAGGAACCCGTCATTCTCATCCTACTTGTTCAAATCAAGTTCCTTCCCTTGCCAAGAGGCCAAAGAACACGGCAGATACCAACTTGCACTTTGAGCTGGTTCCGTGGGCCTTAACACCCCCCCGGTGTGCCGACGATCAGACGATACTCCAGTCATGAAGTAGCAAGTTGCCAAAGGTCTTGGAGTACCCCTAGTCCGCTATCGGTCTGGTCTTGTGCTAATGGAAATTGGTTTAGCTTTGCTGAGCAGTGATATTCTGGTGGCTCACTGCTCAGGCAGATGCTGCCCAGAGACTGACGGCATCTCCTCCCCGCAAGCCGTCTTGGCGACCATAAATGATTGGGGAGTTGATACAGCCTTCGGCTCCCTAGAAAGACCCTGTAAAGTATCCCAGATTCTGACGTGATGTTGCATGAATCATAAGTTGGCTACTTATTAGGTCACAGCGCGGGGGTGAATGATGACATTCCGTCTCGGTACGGCTGTCGACAGGGTCAAATCACAAGTGAGGAGGCGTCTGTTTTGGGATGGCGGTGTCAAATTGAGTGATGAACAGCTATTTGCTGTCAATTGAAGGTTTATTAAATGACAAAACTGGTAGATGATTTGCCAGATATAAAATTACCCAGAATTTGTTGGAGGGGCAGAGAAAATGAGAGTTCTGGGGCGTCTGCCCTAGATAAGATCTGATTAACACAAGAGTGATATTTTTGGGGAAACAAGCATATTCGAGCAAAAGACTTTGACAAGACCCCGCAAATTTCGAGCAGTCTAGGAGTAAGGAGAGCGTATTCTGAGCGGAATCTTAGTGGAATCATGCTGTGTTGTTGGGCTATGAAGACAAGTCTAAACATAATAGGTCCCTAGACACCACAGGGCGAATCCGACCGAGTCTAACATGTCTAGCATAAGAACCATGTATTGACTTCCGGAAAGATAGTGGGGGAAATATTCTAAGTACGACATTGATATTAAATCGGAACGGTTTGGGGTCATTTGCGCCGCCAACAAATCTATGGTGAGTCGCGTGAAAATCCACAAGAGTGTTTGCAATTGAAGAATGACCATTTCCTGCCGCAGCCATGACGGCCGTCTGGACCATCTCGTCGGAAATGGACCATGAGTGCTGACAGATCAGGATGGCTACCTTGTCCTCACGACATCAAGTGGCAGCTTGTCCCAGGCGGACAGTAGCACATAGTCATACTCGAGAGTTCTCATGTCATTCATCTTGAGGAAATCTTCGGGTTGCTTCTCTCGATATTCCGTGCTGCTGATCGCGCTCTCAAAGAACGTCTCCATTGCAGAAAGTGGCAATTCCGAAGGGAACCCTGCCGGCGGTCCCATGAACATCGGTCCTATGGTTATCCACGAGGGGTCCAGCCCATTGCACTTTTGTTGCAATAATTCCGCGACGTGGTCTTGCCCCCCTCTGCTAGCCGCCTCGAAAGCGTCTTTACAAAGACCAGGCTGATAGATATCTGCCCTGGCGTGAAGGAGCACTTGAACGGTGTCACTGTGGCCATGATAAGCCGCAGCTTGTAGAGCTGATCCGTAGAATCCTGTCTCTTGGTTGACAGGGGCACCCTCGTCGATGAGGAGCCTGACAATGTATGAATTTCCGTTCATTGCCGCTGTCTGTAAGGAGTCACCGAATGGACCGCAGGCCTCAATTTGAGCTCCCTTGTCAACTAGCAGTCGGACGGTAGACTGATAATTCAATAAGGCGGCTGTTCTGAGGGGAGAACCAAAGTCGCCGTTTGCCTCGATATCCATTCCAATGTCCAAGAGAAACTCAATCATACTCTTTTGGTTGAACAGTGTTGCAAGAGCAACAGCATCTGATGGAATGAAGTCTCGACTGTTGGGATTTTGGCCCAGAAATTGACGTAAGACCCCAGTCTGGCCACCTTGGATTACCTTTCTGATCTTGGTTTCTGTTCGCGCCCTTGCAGCTTTCGTCGTGTTCGAGGCAGAAAAGTCAGGTGTTTGTAGTATCTGGACTACTTTGACGAACCCAACAAGGGCAGCACTGTCAACGACCTTCTCATAGTCTCCTGCACCCGTGATAGAGAGACCCGCTTCTATCAAATGGACCGCTATGTCTTCTCGCCGGCCACGGCAAGCGGCTTCGAAAGCCGTTCCATACACAGCTCCGCATGACATATCGGCGCCGTTTTGGAGGAGTGTTTTGACCACTTCCAGTGACCAGAAAAACATGCGACGTGCAAGGGGCTGCCATGCGTTCCACACTTGACGTTGATGTTGGAACCGCATTCCAACAGTAGCGATACTGTCGCCGACTGCCCAAGCGCGGCAGCCAAGTAGATTGGAGTGTAGCCAGGGTCGTTTGGTAGATTGATGTATACGTCGCTGATGTTTGCTAAAGCCTCGCGCAGAATGCTTTCAAGCCCAAACATGCTAAGTGTGAACACGAACTCAAAGTCTGAGGAGGAGACTGCACACATTGAGCGTTTCATGGCATGCTCTCTTGGTAAAATTGAAGCAATTTGACGAGCGTTTTCGATCCAGCCCTCGAAAGAAAGTGTAGTGTCCCATTCCTCGTCGAAAAGAAAGGCCTTCAGACTGGCTTCGACGCTTTCGATAGTGGCTGTGTCTTTGCCAAAGGTCAATGCTAGCTTTGAGTGTACGGCCCAGTACATGGCTGCGTAGACGTAAAAGTCGTCGCTTGGTATCTGCAAGCCAGCAAAGGATGCGGAATTTAACCCGCGCAAGCAAGCTCGAATGCAAAGCGAGGACAGAACATGATGAGCTGCGGCGGGCGAAAATTCGCGGTGACGAGTCAGAAAGTCCTGAACCGACTGGTGAGAGAAGCGTAGCGAATTACACTTCGTATCCAAGACTACAAGATTGGCACAAATCACCAGTATCTGTGTCAAATCCAAGACCGAGTCCTTTTCACATGCTAGCGCCATCAAGACAGCCTGTGGCGTCAAGGGTTCTCTGATGTGAAGGACACACAAAATGACCTTCATGGCAATATCTCGAGCTGCTTCTCCCGCATGTGAGATGCAATCAAGAGACTCTTGGTACAGGAGATCAAGATCTTGTGGGAGGTTGTCCTGTAGAGCTGCGATGACATCCGCCTCGAGTGTTTCGCGGCAGATCCGCTCAACTTGTAGCCGCGCCCATAGAAACCTATTCAATGTCAGATAGATCATTGAAGTTGAGTGTAGTTGGTGGATGATTGAACATGTGATAGCTTACATTTCATGAGAGCCGGCGAGCAGTGCACCTTTGAGCATATTCTGAGTGTCAGAATGCAGATTGCCTTGCAAAAGTCTTTTCTTCGTCACGCTCTGCTCCACCAAGTGATCGACGAAAGCCTCCATGTCTTCCTTCGTCTCTTCGGATGTAATTTGAATCTCGAATTCCGCCACGGGCTTATCGGCTGATCGGTTGGTACCTCTGCTGGCGACAAATATTTTTACAACATTGTCAGCCCTTACTACAAGCTCCTCGAGAGCACCAACAACGGCCGGTCTTTCGGCGTCATCGATACTGTCCAGACCATCTATGACAATCGTCAACGGGTCTTGTTCAGCTATCTCAAGAATCAGTCTCACACAGTCTGCGACGCATAGCTGTGCCATGTCAAATTTGCCGGCTCTAGCAAGGCAGACCTGCCGCTCGTATTCGCACGAGAGACAATCCCGCATTTTGGTCCGGTGAACTGTATCAATCGACAGCTGGAATAGAATTGTCCTCATTATGTCGTTTGCACAGCGACGTGATCTCTCGGATTGGGGGTTTGCGCAGTAAAAGTAGCCGAATAGAGCAGCAGCTGGATTGGTAGTTGCTGCTGACTGAAGATAGTCGACGAAGACCGAACAAAGAGTCGGTTTCCCTGAGCCAGGTATACCGTGAATCAGTAGTAAAGATTGCGAGCTTGATGTTTGCCAGGCAATGAATTTTTCATGTTGCAGAAGCCATTGACCGGCACCAGAGAGACGAGATTGTGCGATGTATTGGTGATGATGGTGGTAAGGTGCCACGCACAACCAGTCGAGAATTTCTTGGAATCGATCTTCTGACAGAGCCTTGAACGATTCAGTAGAAAGCCTCGTGAAGGCAACATGCAAGGATTGCAATGTTTCGGCGTCAATTAGACTGGCCAAGGCGTTGACCTCTTGCTCTCTCTCGTTGAGAGTATTCGATCGAACTTCATCTATGCACCGAAAAGGGCCTTTCAAGATTCGGACTATCCGTGATGTTAGTAATTCACAGCAACTAAATTTGTCTCAATAAACCAACCGATCGATCTCTCTCTGTAAAAGTTCAGGGCTGTGCCCAAGAATGTGAGCATCTCAGCGTAAAGTCGCACCAAGGCCTCTTTCATCGTTAATTGCGTCTCAGACTGAGGTCCTGCTAAATAGGTATTCTCAAAAATCCGATAGCGGACCAACATCCGAGCGGTATCTTCAACTATCATACATATTAGCATTCATCCAAGAAAGAGTCTGTCTTGCTGCTGTGAATGTTGCACTCACGTTCCTCGGCCATAGCTTCAAATACCTGAACCTCAGATATAGCCATCTGGAGTAGGAATCGAACGGCCGCCCATGGCAACGCCGCATGCCCAGGATCGTATTGGACTAACGTATCTCCTGTCTCCTTGAATCTGTGGATCCAGGCGACTATCTTTTTCAAAAATGTCACGCACGATAATAACCTCGCCGTTGGGCTTCGTGACCTTCCATCTCTTACGTAATGACAATTCCCGTTTCGATTCGGCTTCCTCGAGAACAGCGCCCTGTGGATAAACACCATTGATTAGTTATTGTCTAGCTATATTCGCATCTGCAAATGCTTTTTGTGAGTAAAGGAGGTCACTCACGAGAATGTCACGTTTGTGACTCCTTGCCTTTTCGAGACTCGCGCAAATATCAGGGGGCAGGGACTTGAATGCATTGTCCCAGAGATCAATAACCGAAGCCATACCGGCTTATAGATGAGCGGATTAACCCAATTAGAGAGCCTGTCGGTGAGCACAAGATCTTGCTTTTGTGTCAATGGCGATGGCGATGATGACAGCAAGAGCTAGGTGAGAGATACCAGAGGAGAAAGTGGGAAATGGACGAGAACCGATAGGGAGTAGTCAGGCTGCGACCGAGTCTGAAATGGTTGAGACGCGCCGAGCCCTAAGTCTCACATTTTTGGGTGAGATTGAGGCTTGCAGTCAGTGACCCGCCGCTGTCATTCTTACAAAATGTCACTTGTAACAGAAACACCATGCTCAGTCACCCCTTGCATTGCACAAAACGTGATGAGGCTGAGTATCCGCAAGGCAGGTTCGAGGAGCTGTTTAACACTGAGCAGTAGACTTCAAACTAGCAAGCTGAGAATTCCCCAAAAACAGTCAAACCTACTATTCTCACTTTTTCAAGTCGTCCCTAATGACGGAATACAAAAGCTCATCCATCACAACCCCATCCCTAACAACAGCCCTCCTCGCCCTCCCCTCAAAAACAAACCCGCTGTTCTCAAGAACCTTCCGACTCCCCTCATTCGCCTCAAAAACACCAGCCCAAACCCTCTCAACCTTCCTCTTCCCATCCTCATCCTCCTCACCACCACCCATCCCCTCGAAAACCCACCTCACAAAAGCAGGCACAACACACCCCATAACCCCCTTGCCCCAATCCTCCTCTCCGAGCCAATACCCAAGCTCATACCCCCTCGCATACACATCCTTCCCCGGCACGAGCCCGATGCTCCCCATAGGCCTCCCCGTTTCCGGACAGGCGATGACCCAGTTGTACACCGGCGCGCCGCCGTCGCTGGAATTCATCGCGATCCAGGACTCTGCGTCGGCGAGGGTGTAGGGCCGGGGGAAGGAGTCGCGGAGGTAGCGAGATACGGAGGGGGAGTTTGCTGCGGTGGAGAGGGCGGGTGCGTCGGTTTTGTGGTAGGGTCGTATTGTTGCTTTTGGGAGGGTGAGGATTGCGGGTGGGAGATCTTGTGGGGAGGCCATTCTTCAAGTGCTTGTATTCTTTTCAGAGTCTGAGGGTTGAATTTTGTAGGCTGGTGATTTTGGTGTCAGTCGTGAGTTGTGAGATGTTTGCTGAAAGTTGGTTGAGGTGTTGTTGTATGTTGTGAGAGTGTGACTAATACTACTCAATTGTGAAGCTGCCATTTACGGAATAGTTTCGGGGAGCTGGACATGGGTCTAATGACTCTTTTGCTCTCTGCAACGATAAGCTCTGCTGACGGCGAGATGAGTTTTCGCGTCTGCCTAGCAGCATTACTCAGGTCCTTCCCAGCTGTGATACATGAACAAAGACACACTGAAAGTTTCTGTTGAGAATATCTCAATACAAGGTCTAGAATCCGGGCAAAGATTAGCGGCCGTTGAACGGCAACGTCCGCCAAGGTCCGGTTTCGAGACCCTTCTCCGGACCGTTGAAGAATGGGTCAACCCGCCCTGGCTACCTGAACCAAAATGCCGAGCCTTCGGAGACGGTGTTGAAATGCGCGCACTCGCCTGAACGACAACACATATTAGAAAGACGATATGCACGCAATAGACATAGAGATTGAAGTTCAAGCTCAGGTCCAAGCTTGCGAGATGGGCGTAAAAAGTCTGTCGCCGTGGTTCCCCATACCATTATTCCTTCAGTACCCCAGATGGATTGAGTTCAAGCCTGAATGACCCCAACGCAGGGCAAACAAGCTTTAACGAATAGCAATAAGCTTAAATCGCAACCTCTGTGGGCACATGGGATGATGAAATGTCCAGGAAAGCATCAACAAATACCAAAAAAAGATTTACACACAATCGCTGCGAGGATTTGAGCCTCACGCGGGGGTCGAACCCGCAACCTTGAGATTAAGAGTCTCACGCTCTACCGATTGAGCTAGCAAGGCGGCTGGGGGCCGTATTTGATTGGTGAGAGCTTTCGGCCGAGTCTGCGCCTGAGTTTCATCCGCGGTCTGCGAGCCGGCCTGGTACGCTCTTCGGCTGGCAAGGACCTGACCCACTCGCTGTCTTGCCCCCCTCCCGGCGAGCCGTGAAGGCTGCCTGTCGCTCCCCGGCCTTTGGAACGATGGATGGCGATGCATGCACTCCTGCAGGAGTCAGAAGGAAGAAACCTCACGTCGTTTTGGAACACGATCTCATTAACGGGGGGAACAACTGGGTATCCGCAGCACACACCAAGGACGCCGAAACCAAGTTTCCAAACGCGCTTCCCCATTGAAAATCCTCCAGTAAATCCTCATAAAATCCAAGCCGACTCGGTGTAGTCCTTGGCCCCGTTCTGCACCATGTTCTTGGTATACTTCATCCAGCACCAATTGCTGTCCTCCCCCTGCTCGCCCTCGTAAATGTACACAACACCTTTGCATGGGCCTTTTCTCGACTGCTGCTGCAGATTAAACGCCGCGCAGTACCGTACGCACTCTTCGAAATTCTTGGCCGGCACCTGCGCGATGTCGTTGTAGAGGTAATCCGTCCCGCAATCCTTACTAAACGTCAAGTTCGTCCCGGGCACCTGGTACGTCAACACGGAGCTGGACCCGGGACACTTGTTGAGCGCGATGGGCGTATCCGTGGCAGCGGGCTTGCTTAGGTCGAAGGCGGCTGACGATGATACCGAGGTGGGTGTGGCGGTTGATGAAGAAGTGGATGGCGATTGGAGGCTGTGGAGATGTGTTAGTTTTGCTGTGAGAATGCTGCTGCTCGTATGTTGTAGGCGAGGAACCTACTTTGCGATTTCGTTGTTTTTGCTTGCCACCAAAGCACCTAATCCGCCCGCCACACCGACCAAGGCGCAGAACAGCAGACTGGAGAGAATCAACAACCAAAATGTTGCCTTGCGCAGTCCGCATATTGTGCCGTCGTCCTTGCTTCCCTTCCTTTCCGCCAGCTGCTTTTCCGGCATCGGCGAGTGCTGATTTTGAGCGTACGTCGTCTCGGTGTAATTCGTCTGCGGCGTGTGAGGTTGGTGTTGGTGCTGATGCTGATGTTGATGCTGGTCATAGTACGGTTGCGCCTGTGCCGGCTCATATGATTGCGGCGCCGTGCTGTAGTTTGCTCCGGTGTTAACCTCCAATCCATCCGGGATGGCATCGGCTTCGGGGCCGGGCCCACCGTTTGGATGCTTGAGCATCTTTTCGGCTTCAGGTGATGGGGAGTGACTGCTATAGTTGCTGTGCCTGTTGGAGTAGAAGTGGTCGTGCGGATGTAGCGATGCCATCGCGCGGAGGGGAAACCGAGACAAGCCACGCTTCGGGACGACAGAGTAAAGTAGGAGGGGGAGGACTTTAAATGAAGCTGCCAAGCATCAGCTAGGGGTAATCTGACCGAACGTAAAAAATGCGAGACAAAATGGGCGGCGAAGAGTGGTCAAGGACTCTCTCGATACTGTTGTTGACGGGGAGCGACATGCAGGATTGACCGTCTTGTGCCACACCGCGCGCGCGCAACAAGGGGCGGGGCGCCATCAGCACTTGTACCGGCTGGCTCGCTGGTCCAAGACAATTCAGGACGCCATCCGTCCCACGGCCGTCACAGCGGTAGGGCTGGCACGAGAATAGTACCTGTCTGTACGGGGTACTGGCCCGCCGTTACAATAAGCTTGCTCCTGTAGCCTGAGTCTAGACGTGAGTAGTCAGGCAGAAGAGTCTCAAGGGAGCATCGCCCCCTGACTTTACCCAAGGAGACTCAGCCCAGAGGCTGAGGGAGGGTGGTGGCCGTCACGGTGGTATTCCCAGCTTTGTCCAATGAGAAATCGGGCGCGGCAGCGATCAGCGCCAAATGGGTTCACACTTGGGATCTTTGGCGCGCGAAGGATTCGGACCCCCGACCAACTCTGATGCATCGTTGGGTCATAGAACCCTTTCTTAGAGAACCTTTGTGCCAAGGCAGCGCGCCAAAACACCGACCAGCTGTTCGAGCAGGCTCTGGGACTCGGAAGTAAGCCCAAAAGATGAAGACGCCTTCCGAAAGCCACCCAATTTCTAAGCGGTCACCACAGGATTCGGGATTGAGACATCCCTGGTTTCTCCGGCCTCGCAATTGTCAGCGATTGGGAGCATTGAGAAAGGCCTGTCGTCGTGTGTCTTCCTCGGATTTTTGCTTGGAAATCGTCCCTTTTCAGCCCCCACGGCAGTATGACGCTGGAATAAGGTGCAGCCGCGCTTCGCTCTTGGGATTTCTTTCCGCCAGAGGGCACATTTCGCTGTGATTCACGCTGGCAGCTTCGCGTCCTAATATGGCCAAGTGCTGACGGTAGAAGTAGAGTGGGGAATCCGGTGTCGCCCCCGAGTGATGGCCGGCCGGGCGGGTCTGTCCGGCATCTTGGCAGTTCCCATTTCCCATCGGTTGGGAACCACTCCCGCCGGAAATTGTCTCGAATGCTGCTTCCCGCACATGCCACCATCATCTCTGAAGGTTGCAAAACATTCGATGCATGCTACGTCTGCCAATTCGTGGTAGCCAAAGAGGGGGCGAAAGGCATGATTTGGTGACGCTGGCAGGTCTCAGGCCGGAATCAAGCTCATAGCCAAGCTTCGTTCGAACCAAAATCTCATCAGAACGTGGCGCACCTAGCGGCTCCTCCCGCCAAACACGCCGCGCTGAATGTCTTTGGCCAAAGGGTCCTTCATTGTTGGGGTTCGAGACGGGCTGGCGCTTAGGCGGTAATGAAGGCATATTCAATTTTCGCCTTCTTCTTGGCTCTTTCGCCTGCGTGTTTGCGTGTATTCTTTCGAGTGAAAAGCCGGAAAGACTATAAACATGTCGGCGATTCTATGTTTCTTTTCCCGACACCATAGGCGAGCCTTGGGGTGCACTGGCAGAAGCTGTCGTGCTTTCAAGAAGCGCTTCCCGACACGGCACGCCACATCCGTACAAGCGCCAGTTCGAGGTCTTTTCAAGTGTGAGAGAACTCTAAAGGCTGTGACGTCAGTTAGGCCTCTGGTCAATGTCGGGGCTTGTGCTTCAGACCAGACGTCCGCCATGACCGAGCGTGAGGAATGAGGGTAATCCCGTTGGGCTGCCAACTACCTTCTTGCCATCTCAACGTCAATCGCTCATCTTCCCGAGAGAAAGAACAATCGAGAAAATCTCCTGGGATCAGTTGACACGAATCAGAAATCGCCCTTGGTCATGTGTCGCTGGTTTGCTTACCTGGGCGATGAAGCCCAGCTTCTTGAAGATTTGGTCATTCGGCCGCGCCATGCCATTGTGAAGCAAGGTGAGTGTTCTGTCATGACGTTTCAGCGGGGCTTTTGATGATTTATATCGGTAGTGGACGAACACTTCCTACCGGCTGGCCATTCAACGGTTGAACCATTTCTTGGAGAGCTTCAGGTCGCCCCTTTGGCTGCCAATGACGCAGGCTCACCGAATCCATTGACCAACATGGACGGATTCGGCCTCGGGTGGTATACGTCGACAGAGTGCGAGTTCAACCCGTATATCGATCCAAAGTGGCCCGAGTCCCTTCGTCCAGTCGTGTACAAAAACACTCGACCTCCGCTCAACGATTTGGTCCTCAAGAGCATCGTTCGAGGCACCAGCAGCAATGCCGTTCTTGCCCACATCCGCGCAGCCCCAGGCCTGACGCCAGTCGTAGAGACCAACTGCCATCCCTTTGCGTTTGGTCGTCACTTGTTCGCCCACAACGGCATCCTCGGGTCTTTTCCTCGTATCCGTACGGCAATTCTGCAATATCTTCCGTTGAGATACCAACAGGCCATTGTCGGGACAACAGACGCTGAGCATATTGCGGCCGTGTACTTCTTCATATTGTGCGGTAAGGATGGCGACTGGGAGTCTGTTTATGATGCTGGAGAGATGGCGACGGCGATGCGGGAGACTATCATCATCCTCGAGAAACTTCAAACCGAGTTTGGGCCGCCGAGCCGAGAGGCCAACACACTCAACCTAGTTGTCATGTCTGGCAGCTCGCTCGTCGCTGTGCGATATGCCAGCCCGGAAGGACTGGAACCACCGAGTTTGTACTACTCGACGACAGCTGGTGCAACGCTCAATCGCAAGTACAAGGGATTTCCGAGCGACGTGAGTGACTCGGCCGATGGTGGTGACGGGGATGCCGAGGACGACGGGCGGCTAGAGAAGAAAAAGCATGGCGAGCACGTCGTGGTGGCCAGCGAGCCCAGCACCTTCAACCAGGGCGAATGGGAGCTTATCAAGCCATCACAGATGGTTGTTTCTGAACTGGGTACTGGTGCCTATCTCGAGCACTTGTGAGTAGTCACTTGTGAGGGTCCCGTATTCGACGGGGTATGCTTGGCAGCCTTTGGATTGGCATTTGGACGTTTAATTACTGGCTGCGAGTTTCAAGCGATTCATACATGTATCGCCGCGTTCAGATCGTCTGTACCTTGCTTGGAGTTAGCATCGTTCACACACGGTGTCAGCATCTTTCATTATTACAACTCTCATAGGTATGCTCATCTCCTTCTTCTGACCGTTTCATTTTTCGACCGCTGTGTCTCGTCGTGCTTCCATCATCCTGGTGCCTTCATGTGCGTATCCGCGTGGCGAAGGGTGAAGGAAAGGAATTCTGTCTGGTATCAGTCCCACATCATGGCCGGTCTGTTGATCTTCAGACGTGGCTCCCGCGGATTGATTGGCGGCATTGGCATGGCCTACCGGCAGGTAGCCTACAAGGAGCAAACAACACCACCGCCTCGCCGTCGTGTAACACTGTAACCTGTGAGAAGGATAGAAACAGAATCTCGGGCAAAAATCAGGAAGTTTGCATCAGACCAGCTTTGAGGCTACCTGCTAAGAGCGAGGTCAAGAGAGAATGTTGAACATGTTAGATGGAAATACCTAGGTGACGGGACAGATGGATGGAGGTGAAGATGGCAGAAAATATCCGAGGTTCCGTGGAATTCGTACCGTCAGGGGGACTGTCCCGATCGGGTTGCATCAAAAGAGAAGGAGGAGGGCAGCTGCTCCTGCTGTGTCAATAAGTCAGGTATCCAAGGCAGGAGCTCCTTCTTTTAATACACTTCACCTTCCTTCCTACCTTAACCTGCATCGTCCATCCAAGTACTCACCCGTTGGTCTTTTCTTCCCTTGTTTCTTTTGTCACCGCTGTTTTACGCTCTTTTTCTCTCCTCTCTTCTATCGAGACTCAACAATCGAGCCGATTCTTTCTTCAATTTGGCCGTCATTTCAACCACAGCCTGAACGTCTACCTCATACTCGACAGCGATTTCGCGCTGGCCCTGGGTACCTTCGATACGACCATTGCTTCGACAGTGTGTCGAAGTTCGCCGGATACACTTACAACTTGCGACTGATGGGAATTATGGCGTATCGAACTATATCCGTCGTTCTTTTCTATCTGGCTCTTGGTCTTCTGGCCAGGTCTACTGCAAGCGAAAAGGGCGACTATGACCAGTGCTACTTCGATGCCGGTTACGTCGGTCCACCTAACCTTCTCCCTTGCTTACCGGCGAACGAAACAAAAAATGGCTTCAGTTGGTGCTGCCTGGCGGGCGACTTCTGTGTCAATCAAGCCTGTTGGGATCGACCATCTGGCGTGACTTATCAGTATGGCTGCAATGACCCGACCTACAAAGACGAGAGCTGCCCGCTCAAAGGTGATTTAGATCGAGGTACGTTCCAGGCGCACAATCCCATTAGGCTTCGCGGAAGAGTTTGAACTAAACCATATCACAGCCAAATCTCCTTGGGTAGGCCTCGTTCTGTGCGACACCAAGAATGAGGGCCTACTGAAATACTGGGCATGCAACCACCCCGATACTTGCGGCGGAAACTGTCCGACTGAACCCGAGCGACCACAAGTGACTCAGTCTATTTGGCCGTGGGAACCCCAGTCCTTACCGCCCAATAAAGACTGTAAAGACCTAGGAAGGCGAGTTTTGGCAATGTATGCCCCCGATCCACTTGGCTCGACCGGTGGTGTTCCAATAGTGTACACGGCCTCAGCAAACAAACCGACTCCAACAATGCCGCCATTGAAAAGCAGCGATACAACGACGTCTTCGGCTTCCTCGTCCATCCGTCCATCTGTTTCCGATACCACAAGTCCCGCCATCGACGCCACATCACCCACAGCTGCCACCACTGCATCCGTGGACTCCGAGACGAGCAGCTCAACCTTAGGCACCGGGGCTATTGCTGGCATTGCTATCTCCTCCGCCTTTATCGTAGGACTAGCCTTGTTCTTCGCCTTCATGCTACTCCAACGACGTCGTTCCCGACATTCTCCGGTGCTCAACACCCATGAGACCGAGACTTATGACCACGAACAGACTGGTCCTGCAGAATTGCCTGACGAGAAACACAACCTCATAAATCCCCACACCCCGTCCACAGCTTCGGACGCAGGACAGAGCCGGCCAGTCTCAGACATGACTCTGAGCATGATGTCTCCCAGTCCGCTCAGTACGCCGAGAACTCCAGGCTCGCCGTTTTACTACCACGGCGTCGGCCAAGCCCCTTCTGAGTTGGTGGATCAGCCGAGGGCTATACACGAGATGCCGGCAATCCATGAACGGGTCGAGATGCCTTGATAGATGGGATAGTGGTGCCAATATATTCAAGTCGCGGTGGGGGGAAGGCTTTGATATCGCTATTATGCTTTAGGCTCGGATACATGCACATGTTTAGAGAAGACTTCGTAATAGCGGACTGATATGGTGGTACCTCTGCATGCCCCTTCCGTTAAATCCCTTTGTGCTACTGGATCATCATTTGATACAAATGCTAAGTGCTCGACAAGCTCACCTCACGAGAACGAGGCGCTGTGCATTGCTGCGGACGAAGACCACATCGAGGTGTCGACGTTACACGGACTTCACTCTCCCATGCATTCAAAGAAGTAATGATTTTGAGCAGATTGAAAACTTGATAATATTGAAGTTCACTGATAGGTACTAAAGTACGTTTTTCTGAATACGTGTTGCGTCAAACACCATCTTATTAGGCGATTGACCGGTAGGTCCTGATACAGTCCTCGGCGTCCTTCCCATCGTTCTTACACTCGGGCTTGCAGAAATGAAGCCAGTCGTAGCCGTACTGTCCCCAACAAATGGGAGCACCCCAAAACTTGGCGGGATTCAGCATGCGACACTGCGGATCACGACACAGATCAGCAGCCGTTCCGGCTTCGCACGAAGGGGTTCGGAGGGGATGGGAGGGGCATTCATACCGTAAGCGCACCCGCCCACGGGCCGTCTTCACCCACCAGACTCATGGTGACTTGATCTTTGGGGAGGGATTCGTTCTTCATCCAGATGCAGGCCTCTTTGGATCGGATGGTGTGGAATGACCATGACTGGCAGATGCAGTGGAAGAAGTCTGCGTTGACGGAGGCGATCCAGGTGCTTGTAGAGAATGAGCATCTATATTTGTGAGGTATGTAAGTGAGTTTGGAGGCTTACTTGAGGAGAACTAGGGAGATAATCTGGAGCTTCATTGTTGTTTAGAGACGTCTGTGTCAGTGAACGCTCTGGTGTGCTCGTGGTCTAGGGTATTGAATGAGTTCCATGTAGTGACAGAATGAGGAACTAAATTGGAGGATGGGCAGGAGTCACATTTTTATACCAACGTCACGCTGGGCTTACTTGAATCATAAATACCGTTGTGGCTGCGATCTCGCCATCACGGTTCCAGCCATCCACTCTACGAACCTCGATAGGAACGCAGCACCAGCATGCCATTCAACTCTCCCTAATGGAACACCTCTATGGACATATTTCGGTTCGACTACCAGGTGGGCACTACCGCCAGCACATTGCTTGATCTCAAACCCCTTCTCTAGATTTCGTTGATTGAAAGGCACCTACTTACCTACTCAGGCCCTTGACTCCTTAGACGGCTTGAAGGCCGGCCGTGCGGGTGTGGGGAAAGTGGTTCCGGCCCCGCAGCGCCGACCGGAACTAAGGCACGGCAAGGTAATCTGGAGAGTGGGCGGGCCATTGACTGTATTAGTGGAAGTCTCTCACGAAGCCCCTCAAATCACGGGAGATCTGGAACTGCTTTTGCCCAGTGTAAAGGGATTGGTCTGCCATATATCAATCTGTAACATGAGATATGCAGCTCTTGAACGTTTTCTGGGCATGACAGTGTCGACATTTACTGACCTCGCCCCTCGTCACGCAATTTTGGTCATATGTTGCCCAGGTCCAAGCACATTCTCACTCATGATAATCAGGACGATCTTAAATCTCATTTCAGTATTTCAGTACGCGAGCGATCTCTGTAGTGCATTGCCATATCGTAAACCTGAAAGGGCATATAATGTAATGCTACAGCTGCTTTTCTTGACTTGAGCCCTGCCAGGGGCGCACTCCAAAGAAGAAAGGCAGGCCAGAGGAAGTGCACTCTTGGATGGCCTGTGGAGCCGTACGTCGGGTGATTGGCCAGGTACCTTTCAGTTGAAGTTGGGCTCTGTGGGCAGGTAGGTCTGCCCATGTCTCCGCTAACCGTGCCTGTGCGGGGCAGTTTCCAAGTTATGTTTAGGTATCGCCTCTCCGAGTACAGTACCTTGGTCTCTGTGCACTTACTGGGTACAGTGGAGACTTTGGACAAGGAAGTCCTGCACCCACGCTGGAGCGGTATCCGATGTCCAAGTCCCAATACAACGGCAAGACGCACCGGGGCGGCGGGAATGAGGTGCATGCTCCGGCTCGCCGCCTCTCCACTCGCCCGCAGCCCTCGAGGAGTGTATCGACGCCGTTAGGGAAGCGACGCAGACGAGTATCGCGAAATTCGTTCCGATCCTTACGCCGCCGAGTATCACCGGTCCTGTCCGCAAATTCGAGGAAATCATCCACGCCAGCCTCGAACTTGAAGAAGCAGCTCGGCGCAACTGCACCCTACAGGACAACGGCGACAAGCTCTACAGCAAGTGGCAGTTTCTTCGGCGACAAACGGACAGACTCGTCAAGCAAATCTCGACAATGTCGTACCGCGATTTCGTTGAATCCAGCACAAAGGCCATGGCAGGAACCTACGGCTTGGCTCGAGTGGGCGCTATAAAGTAGATATCTATATGGGACTCGGCACAACCACGTGTTCACATGCCTGATCTCAAGGACCCAGTGACCGACCAAGTCTGCAGTGCCCCCCAAGACAAGGTCCGTTGTCTCACCAATTCCATCTGGCCCAAGACCAGCACCGGACCAACAGTACCAGCATTGTTACTTTTGTCCACCACTCGATCCCGCTCGAAGGCAATACTTCTCTCCACAGCAACTCGACGACGAGGAGATTCACGAGCTAATCTCCGGTATCCCTCGCGGAAAGGCCGAAGGACCGGACGGCATTGCTGGGGAGGCTCTCAAGATGCTGCATGTTTCAAGAGATAAGAAAGAAACCGAGAGTGAGCAGGAAAGCATCATCGCCCCGATTCTTGAACACATCATCAACGCTTGTTTTCGCTTATCGCATCATCCAGCGCAGTTCAAACGATCCAGGACTGTCATAGTCGAAAAGGCGGACAAGCCAACGTACGAAACACCCAAGAGCTGGCGTCCTCTCGCCTTGTTATCTTGCATGGGCAAGGTTGTAGAGAAGGCCATGTCGAATCGCTTGACGACACTCTCCCTTGAGCACCGCCTAGTCCCTTACAATCAGTTTGGATTTGCACGACGGTCTACGACAAAAGCGCTCGAGTTGATTCTGAATCGCGTCTACCGATGCTGGAACGCCAGCCCGCGCATGTTTGCAACGCTCATGACCATTGACATGACTGGTGCCTTCGATCATGTCGATCGAGAGATTCTCCTGAACATCCTGGTTCGGAAAGGTGTCCCTGACTGGATGGTTCTGTACATCTCTTCGTTTCTCTCTGATCGACGCGTTGCCCTGTCGATTCCAGGATACACATCAGAGGAGTTCTGGGTCAACATTGGCATTCCCCAGGGCAGTCCTCTTTCGCCTGTCCTCTTCGCCTTGTTCTCCTCTCTCATACTGGACGAACTCAACAAGATCTGGCCGTCGAGTCCATTCTTCCAAGCCATGTCGTACGTTGACGACACTTGCATGGTGGTCACGTCACCCTCCTACGAGGAAAACTGCAGAATCTTGACAACGGCCTTTACCGACCTGATTGCCGCTACCGCGCCGCATGGCATTGCCTTTGGCCCTTCCAAGACACACATCATGCATTTTCAGAACCCGCACAGGGAGACTCGGGGGGCCAACTCGAGGACTGCCGACGAACCTGAGCCACCCAGAATCATACCATTGGCAGATCTACCAGACGTCGGTGTGGAAGGGGCAAAGAAGGAGGAGGTGATCAAGCTTCTTGGGGTTTACTTGGACCAATCTTTGACATGGGCCACGCACGTAAAGAAGGTGAGTACATCCTGACAAGCTTAACGCAGCTGAGTGCGCCGCTGACAATGTGGGGAGGACAGGTTACCGAGAAGATGGAAGCCAAGATGCGCACCATCTATCGTATTTCCGGCTCGACATGGGGGCCCTCTCTCGCCAGCATCAGACGCCTGTACACCACATGTGTCCGCCCGATCGCCGCATACGCCGCTCCCGTGTGGTTCCTTTATCGAGACAACGAACGCAGGGTCCGCTGGCAAATCAGCGTCAATCTGGTCACGAAGCTCGACAAGGCACAGGCGGCGTGTCTCCGACAGGTTGCCGGCGCTTACCAGACCACAGCGAACGCGGTCGTCCACCAGGAACTTGATGTCCCGCCGCTTTCTCTATTCCTTGAGAAGCTCGGTCAGAAACACCGCACTCGCAATCTTGACACCCCGGAATACGGTTCTCTCAATACCGTGTGGGGAACCGAGAACATGCCGAAGACCCAGAGCGCGGCGAACAACGTAGCACACCCATACCGCATCCTCTACGAAGTCACGGCCGCTTCAATGCATTTCGCGGCCCGGAAGCAACTCATCGAACTCAACGAGGAGCGGGCTGGGAAAAAAGACGAGCGGGGTTTTCCGCTACCGATGTTACGTTGGCGGAACTTGCTTGACCGACAGCAAGTGCGGAACAAAGTCATCGACGACAAACTTCAGGAGGCATGCGCGCGGTACTGGCAGAACTACCTCGACGATCGCCAAGACCGAAGGGAGGAGCAGACCGACCCAAACTCTCGCATCGCCAACCACCGTCCTCTCTCCCTCTCGGAAGAATGGGGCCCGGCCAGCTTGAACTACTATGCCAAGCTCACGCGTGCTGAGAGCACCATGTTATTCCACTGTAGGACCGGTGTCGTGGGACTCAAGTCCTACCTCTTCTCCATCCATGTTCGTTGCATCACCTTCTCCTCCTTTTGCCGGTCTCTGCCCTTGAACTGACCCTTACGTCTCCACCAGGTTCGCGACATCGTCGACGACCTCTGCCCGTGCAAGCAAGGCAAGCACACCGTCGAGCATGTCTTCATCCATTGTCCTGCTTTGTTGGCTGAGCGGACACTGCTCTATGAGCAAGTCGGTCACCATGATTTGAAGAGGTTGCTCACGCGTGATTCCAAGGCCGCTGCCGCGTGGGCCATCAGCTACCTATCCATTGAACAGTTTGGCTGGTCTGGGAGGCAAACACCCGACAAAATCTTCCAAAAGAGTAATGGGGTGTCTGGTGCCTCTGCCTCGACTGGGACGGGGGAGACTGGGACGGGGGAGACTGGGACGGGGGAGACCGGGACGGGGGAGACCGGGGGAGGACAGCCTTTGGTGGAACCGGAGGTCATGGTTGGCGTGGTCCTCGGGCACGACAATGCATTTGTCCACCCATCGTGAGCATTCTAGCTAGCCTAGATAGTCATGAATACACACGTTTTCACTTACCCTTTGGGGTCCGGCCCGCCTCATTGGGGGCCAACTTCGCCCTCACGGGCAAGCTGGTCTTATCAGGGTCAATATCGAGTTTTCATTGCGTACATTACTTAACAAACTTCACAACTGACAACAGCCGGCCGCAGGTATGTCGTTAGATCACCGTCGGGAACCACATGCTTATACTAATGCTGTCGACACTGACACAGCTCAACCATCACTGTAGGCCACCAACCCATTCCACTCATTACATGCCGCAGCAGGGAGCTGACCAGTCTTCAGGACGACGCAACACATTAATCGCCTTCCGAACAGCCGAATACCACCCCTTACTTTCTCCCCTTATCTTATCTAACAACAGCCTCTCCCTAACATTCCCATTCAACACGCTCGCCTGCGCTCTTTCCAAGCTCCCAATCATACCGTCAAGTCTAGGCTTGTCCACACCTCCATGTTGCATCAGAAGGGCGCCGATGAGGGCGACGCGTATGTACAGTTCTGCTCAAGGTGCTGCCGGATCCTAACTAATGTCAAATCACCAGCTATCATGATGTATCTGTCCGTCTTCCGCAAGTCGACATTGCGGAGGTGGTATCTGTTGAGACGGTCTCTCCACAGCTCGGGGTCGTCTAGTATGATGGCCGTGGGATCGAACTTCTGCTGGGTACGTGTTCTGATGAAAACGCACATGCATTATCTGACTGTGTTTCTTTAGCCATCGAGGAAGCCCCAGGGGTCGACGAGTTGTTGGCGTCTCGGCATTTCGACAAAGTGTGCTTGAGGTAGGAACACAACTGACACGCCGTTTCTTTTGTTTTGTGCTCTTATTCAATGACTCTGGCTCTAAGCTTGATTTGGGGGGGGGGGGGGGAGGCGATGCATTGGGTGCTATGCGAGCGAGTATTCAGGATTGGAAACCAGTGGATAGGTTGAGTTGAACATTTGACCGTGAGCTGATCACCTCAAAGTAGGTAGACAGTTGGACAGCGACAGCGACAGCGGCAGCGACAGACGGCGAGGGAAGGTATGTTAAACACATACATGAGCGCATGTCATGGCCAGGCGGTAACTGACTCATTCCAGCAGCGTTTTTCGACTTCGACAAAAGAAACGAGGCAACGAATGTGTAGTGTGTGTGTGTGTGAGTTGAAGTGTGCAAGTTTGTCGTCAAAGCCATCCAGACACCCTTTAACCATTACCTGTGCTGACGAGCTCTATCCTATGGCCAGACGTCGACGGTGAGGGCGAGATCGCGACCCGGCAGCTTCAATGACGGCACCTAGCTAACACCGCCATGGCTTGCATAGGTCGGCATCATTCTTGACGACGGCGACGAGGGCATCTCAGATGCCACCATTGTGAGGCCATCACCTGGAGTATGTTTATCCTCACAGCCTGTGGCTCCCAGGAAGTTCTATATTTCGTAGAGAAAGCTGACATCGTCTAATAGAGGGCAGCGAACTCAGCCAGGTGCGAGGGTATGTCAACATCTGGACGTGAGGAGTCTCAGCAGCCCAAAATGCTAACAGACAATAAGAGGCTCACAAGGTGGCCGCGCGCCCAACATCGCGTCAATGTAAGTGTCCTGGACATTCATCTCAATTCACTTTGAGCCCTGAGTCGGATCTCTGATACCTATTCATGGATCAAACGCTAATGCCCGTTCGACATCCAGCCGTGGTTGTGAACTTTGCAGGAGGGAAAGTTAAAAAGGTGGAAGAAAACCATAAAAAATAGTCTAACGAGACAGTGGGGGTATCCACTGATACTGTGTATGAATACCGTGTAACCGATATCGAGAACCGCCCGAGCGATTCGCAGAGGTAGAATTAAAAAACAAATAAAATTGGGCGATACTCCGCCCTTAAAAAACTTGTTCCGGCCGTCTCTGATGCGTGATGTATCACAACCATGCCGCTTTTAAAGATCTCTCTAACAAACTAAATCGTGAGTCTACTTTTCCTCTCCATACTGTTCGTACATCTGTTCTTAACATTCAGCCACCCTTGCTGTGCCACCTCGTCGGTGTGGAAACCCCTTGATCCGCGCTAGTCACAGTTCAGCCACATCACGTACCGGAGAAAGCTGCAGATGCGGACACCTTGATCAACCTGCTCACTCAGTCCTATATCTACTTAGCCTGCCTGCACATCAAAGACTTCTATCAAGGCCGACTTGCCTTCGACTTCTTCTCTTCTACTTACCTTGTTATTTCCGCACAGTCATTCCCACACACTCACTCACTCGCACACACTCGCTCCATCACACAATGGCTTCATTCGCCGATTCACGTGCTTGCGACACGCAAGGCGGCTTGACTTTCTTCAAATTTCCGAATGAGTTACGCAACTTGATCTACAAACACTATCTTCAGCTCGACGAAGGCTACAAGCTTAATCCGCACACCAACAAGCTGCGAACCGGCAACGACAAACCTATCTCTCTCGACTTGCTGTTCACCTGCAAGCGCGCTGCCTTGGAGATGAAAGGGCTACCCTTTCAGCACAATATCATCACCTTCTCTGCGTTTTGCCCCCAGTCGCAACAGGGTCGCTTCAATGCTGGCCACTTCAGCAACATGACGCGGATGATGGAATCCGAACTACGGGCACTCTTTCACTACAGTCTTGATCCCAGCTTCTTCCCCCGTCAAGTGGTTAAAGAAGTTTCGGACGCGTACCCAGCTTTCGCCCCCCTTCTAGACGCGATGAAGGGAGAAAACTGGCACAGTTTGGATATTCATCCTCCTTACGGCAAGACTCCGTCGACTTTTCGCGACTTTGTCCGCTTCACTCTAGATACGATCAAGTCCCACCGATGCCTGTTTGACAACCGCAAATATGAACAGGTCATCGATCGACGTCGGCAGTGTCTTGAGAATGGACGTTATCTCGAGCGGGGAAATATTCCACTGAGCCAACTTTTTGGACTCAGACCCCAGAACTGGACAATTCCCACCCAAAAAGATGTCGATGACATGACTATCCTCTCCGACGGGCTCGAGACTTGCGCCGTATTTTGCGAAAGTCTGTACGATGAGCGCCAGCCGCCCGTGGATTTAACCAGATTTTGTTACTCAGCAGTTGTCGGCGCCATTCAGTTTCTAGATTCGATACTCCCATCGTCTCGCGCCGATATTCGCCGCATCAACCTCATAGAAGATCGACCGTCACTATCTTACCCGGAATGCCACGGTTTGGGGTTGATACGGTTCTGCCAAGAGAATCCGCTGTTGCGCATCGAGCGTCACGTCGGCTTATGGGATACTATCTTCCAGGGCGATCCCATGAGTATGGAACCTGGAGAGGAGGAGCTGCCCCGGAAGGAGAAGAAGACAGACGAAATATCTTATTCTATAGCCGCCTGGATGGTAGAGGCCTTGGCCTTACCTGCGGCTGGTATGCCCCAGGATGCGTTCAAGTTGATGTTCGTTGGAGATTCAGAGGGAGACTGGGAGTGTGAGCAAATCTTCCGCAAGATCGTCCTACGAGACGCCGCGTGGCAGGAGGCAAGGGACGAATGCTTCAAACGAGGTATTCTACCACCGCCCTCTTGGGCGGAGAGGAGGGCTGGAGCCTGGGGAGGGTCTTACGATGATGATGCATTCACAGGCTCGAACCCCCTTAGTCGTTGCTTTCTATTCGAAGACTTTCCGCGGGCAGTGCATGAACTTCTCAATGGAAGCTCGCTGATCACCTGCAACTTCAATCCAGGCGAAGCTTGGAACCTCGAGAAGATCGTTGAGAAACGGCGATCGTGGTCTTTACGCAAGTGGAACCGCAAATGGTCGCGGGGGAAACAGTCGTACAGAAGAGGCCTCGGCCCTCACGACGCCTCAAATTGAGCGCCTTCTTCATAACGTGCGCGGTGAAAGCAGCTACACCAGCCGCTTAGGCGTGAGTCGGAGAAGGAGACGCGCTAAAGTAGATGAAGACGATCGACGGGGGGATGCGCCTTGTCAAGATCTGACGGCAAATGTCGACGATTCTCATCGTACAAGAGATAGGAGTCGAGAAGTGGAACTCCGGGATGAATAGGATTTATTGCAAGACTTGTCTCTGTCGCAAGATGCGCAATGCTCTATTATATACCTAGCTCTGATTAGAGATCAGGCCTCGTTCAATCAAATATGCATAGACTTGCGGTTGTTCCTCAAGACATTCTCCCAGAAGATCCTCATCGCTCGTATCAAATCTGGCACCGTGTTCAATGAGCATTCGGACCGTTGCAACGCTCCCGTGAACCAAAGCGATTGACAAAGGCCCCTGTCCCCCATTTTCCAAGGCAGACACGTCACTTCCGTGTTGTAAAAGGGCTCGGATCGTTTCTTCAAACTGTGCTCCGTAGGCTGCGACATGCAAGGGCGTTTGCATCATCCTGTCTAAACCCTCCACATCCGCACCGAGCCGAACAAGTTCATTCACAACAGTCTTGCCTGCTCCCAAATGGGCGGCGAGATGAAGTGTCGAGTATCCTTTCGGGTAGACATTCCAGCGCTCTTCAACAGCCTCAAGCTCGTCGTAGCTTGATTCCTCGTTAAACTCCCAGGCTTCGGCTGCTTGCAAATAGGAATCGATTGAAGCGATTTTGGAAGAGAACTGTAAGAACGCCGCAGAAATACTTTCCACGTCAACATGGGCCATCCATAGACTCAAGTTTCGTGCGGCAAACGATAGCAGTGGATGTCCTTTGAAGCGGCGTTTAAGTGCTGTAGATGATCCACACGCGCCGGCTGTGAACTCTTGTTTCGACAAATATCGCAGGAATATACTGGCAATCGTGTCCGTTGGGCAGTGTGTCACACGTCTTTCATCGAGATGCTCTGCTAGAAGAGGAGACTTGATGCCCCATACCTGTGTTTGCTCTTTGACAAAGACAAAGTCTGAGCACATGCGGGCAAGATCCTCCGTCGTTGCTGGCAAGGCACCTGCAAGCGACTGATCGCTCATACGTAATGCATCCAAGATAGCCTCGCCATTCAGATGGTGTCTGGTCTTCTTGGCCGCAATGAGAAGATAGAGAATCGTCATGATTAGGTCCCCGTGTGCAGACTGAGTGATGCTAGTCACGGCGAGCTCGCAAAACGTGGCGCTCCTCTGCAAAGCATTCGCCCTAGAGAGTTTCTGCGAAACGGCCTCCAAAACCCCGAAACCCGTTGGAGATGCTGAATGGTGTAAGTCTTGACCAGATATGGGCATAAAACTTGATAGCGTTGATCATTAGCGAATGCCAGACAGGTTGTGGTCATGAATATGTACACGCACTTACCGGTGGTCGAAAAGTCCGGCCCATCGCGTCAACGTCTGTGCCAGCTCAGATTTGGATAGCTCTCCAGCCTGTCCATCGTGGTTGTTTTGAAAAGACTGCTGGAGGTACTGAATCAGATCCTCCTGACTTGCCCGTACCTCTAGGCTCGCTCCGTCGAACCTTCGAAAGACCTCCTCAAAGGGCTTGAAGCGGCTTAATAGAACAACATGAACGGACGACTCATTGTCCGAGAGGCGAAGCTTGGCCACAAAGTCGCAGAACGCGGTCGGGTCTGGATCGTCTAGACCGTCTAAGATGATGTAGATCCTTTCAAAGTATGCTTCGAGTTCGGCCCAGATTACCTGGAAGTTGTCTAACCACCACGTGAACACAGTTACTGGTGCGGAGATGAGCCTTTTAAGGGTCTCGGACGACTCGGGGAGTTGGAATACGATCTGTCTAGTAATGGAAGTGATCGCAGCCCCGAAGTCTACCAATGAGTGATAGAGTCCTTTGTTTTCGAATTGTACACAAGCGACGGCGAACTTCACGTTGGAATCGAGCTGGGTGGCTGAAAGGTGTTCGACGAGGAGCAAACTGTGGGGAATGAATTCGCAGGTCCTCCAGAGGCAAGAGTTTGAGCGACATACCTTATGCAACTCTTTCCGGTCGATGCTGGAGTGCAATTAGCCACTGAACAATACCGTTGAATGCGTACTCCCATCAATGTAGAATCAAGTCTTGCGTACCGGCACCATGAACCCAGAGAAACTGCGGGCTCTGAGACCTCGCCCAATGTTGCACTTGTGGGTTTTGTAGGAACCATTCTCCAATGCTCCCTACACGTCGACCAGCAGTTTCCTGAAACTTCCTTGACGAGCGATCACCTGGGCTGAGTCTCTCCAGGAGGAGGCTTCTTTGGATGGTGAGATCCATTCTGGGTGGCTCCAGGAGTCAATCTCAATGCTGAATCGTAACGTCGCCAGCTATGGGCACCAGCGTGAATTTTTGTAGTTTAGCTACTTGGAAGATAGAATGATTAGGCCTCCGTGCGGAGATAACAATTACCGGCTATCCATCTGCGCAATGTGTGAATATGTACATGCTTTAGGTAAGGATACGAGATACGCTAAGATGTTGCTGCCTACCCTAAGCTAGGCAAATTGGCATGGAACAGCCTGGATGCGGGCCAATTCACAGTCGTGAGATTTCCGCCTGGTTGTTACTATTCTCCGCGTCACATCGACGTTCATCTGACAAGCATAGCCTTCAAAAATTGGCTTCTCATAAATCAACACTCTGGTCATTTGTTGTATGGCTGGCGCACATTCCACCGATTAACCATTTCGTGTACTTTGACAATACCCATCACAAGAGATATCGGTCAAAGTCGAATGCCGATTCGGCTTGGCCTGCGGCGAGACCAGCCGCCTTGAGCGCTTCCCAATTCACATCGTTGATTCCCACCTCATAATCCCAACCGTGGTGGGGGTCAGGGTTGGGCAAGATCTGCCAGTAGAACCACGGAATCCCGGCAGCGTCGATACTCGCAGCCCAAGTACGAATGTTGGAGTCTCTCGTTCCTGTACCAATGGGACTGCCGCCGTTGCAGTTGTGGTTCGGGGCATCCGTGTAGCAAGCGCCCCATTCTTGCATGATGAGCTTCTTCCCAGCATTCTTGGCTTTGGTTACGTAGGGCTGAAGCTTTGACGTAGCGAAATCGTCAACTCCGTAAGCGTGGATGGCAAGAACGTCCAGGGCGCTGCAGCTGAAGTATGGGTCTAGCAGAGAGTTGTCGACGTAGGCACCGCCTCCGGTAGTGACCAGAATATCGGTACTACCGTTGAGGCCTTGTTTAATTGCCTGTGCCATAGTGCACTGCCATGACGTCAGGGCTGATGGGTTCCCCTAGAAGCGTCGTCAGTCCAGTCATATCGCCCGTCGGCGGAATTTTGTTTTACCTGCGGATGCATAGCTTCGTTTTGCGCCTCAAAGGCAAAGATGTACTCAGAGCTTTGAGCCCAGGTCTTGCCATTCTTGGGGTTCACATGTCCAAGAACATGCGCAATGCGCGTCTTGAAATACGCCATCGCTTCATTGTTAGTGTAAAAGTCGCCAGTACCATACCATTTGCCGTAGAAGTCCGAGTTTGCTTCGAGAGCGTTGTAACTGTGGATGGAAACGAGCAGTTTGATGCCGTAGTCGTGGGCATGAACCATGAAGTTGTCGAGGCGGTTGAGCACAGTGTCGTCCCACACATCGGGGCCATCACCCTGGAGGCTGTTGAAGTTGTCCAAAGTTGTGCCCTTTTCGCTTCCCGATTGGCCTGCGACAAGGAATGAATCAGTATGCATATCCTTTTGGTTAGGCTCGAGTTTTCTTACCATCAAGCCATACCCGTAGAACTTTGACGCCAGCGCTCTGAAGGCCTTGGAAAAGTGTGGTCTGTTGCTGAGTATTTAGGCCAGCAGCATAGTAAAGATTCGAGGCGGAGAATGACTTGGCTGCATAGCAAGTGGTGGAGAGGGACAAATGCAACAAAGCCGGTATGATTGTGGAAAGCTTCATTTTGAATCTCGGACCCAGTTGAAAAGGTTAAGCTAAAACTTAGGGTTGAGTAGTTAACTTGAGATAAGTAAAAGAAAGTTTTGTAGCTGGGAGCCTTTAAAAGCTTCAGAGCCGAGTACAATGAGTTCGCCAAGGAGCAGGAAGTGGATGCGGTTCATAGGAGTTCGCGCCTGGTTCATCATTTGTTCGAGCTATTACCTCGGTTTCATTGTCTACTAAGTCCGGAGACAAGTCAGCTTGCGTGATACGGGCGTATATCGGAAGTATCAAGGCCCGCTTGTCTTTGACGTCTGGATACACCATGTCTCATCCAATGAGGGGCTCACTGCAGGCTTCTACTAAGCTAAGGGGCTAGGATCTGCGTGGTGCCATTTGGATAGGCAGCCACCTTCCCAACTCTTCCTGCGGTGTTGTATACTTCCGAACATGGTGCGCTAGCCACAAGTTCTGGGCTTTGTTGGAAATTAGATTAAGTTACATGCCGTGCGGGACGCATCTACAGCTGGTTCGTCGCAGATCCTAGCGAGTGGGTGTTTGCAACTCGTATAGGGTTGTCTATGTGATGCAACCATTTATTCTCAATACATCTTTCATCGCTTGGCACCACTTCTTCGGTGAGTCGGGTTCCTCTCACAGCCGAAGCGCTTGAAGCTTGGTGTCTTAGGGTAGTGTTCAATGACCTCATGTCTCTTTTCTAAGTACGGGCTCGGCGGGCAGTAGGGTTGGCTGTGAGAGAAACCTTATCTCTCCATTACTTCACCTATGTTGACTGCTTCGAAACTGGTAGGCCTTAGCATCACCTGTCCGTCTGTCTCCAAATGGCATTGATGCCTAGATAGACTGTTGCCGCAGAGACCTTGGGTCTGGTGACCACTAGGGTTGCCTAGCGATAGACATAGCCGCATCTGAAGCTGTGTAACGACAAGTACTTAAGCATGGAGGGAATGAAGCAAAAGAAATTCCGACAAATTTAACGATGTAAAAAAACGATGAATTCAATGAAGATCAGTGATTGAATTGTTCTGAAACAGGAAGATGCAATGGTTCAGCCTAAAACATGCATTCGTCTTGCTAATCTTTAGTCCACAGCTGGGTTCTTTCCTCCAGTCTACCGTGAGCATCCCCGTTGTGACGGTGTGTCTTTCAACTATCTATAAACTGAAAAAGATAAGTCCTACTTAGGTAATTTAATTCTGAGGCAGCTAGCTCCCAGGTCATCATTCAAACTGAGGAAGGCGGCGAAGTTGAGTTTCTGGCGAAGGCCGTTCTTCAGAACCTCACTTTAAAATATTCTGTTGCAATTTCATCCACCCAAATTCTATATAGATCAAATCCGCACTGTGGTGAACAACTGATGTATACTTTCATACTCTACTTACCTATGTACTACCGACTCATGAGGTTTGAACGCAGTGAGTTCGGTACCTTGCGGCATCCATGACCGCTGTATGTGCATCCGTCACACAGCTGGTTATCACCGAATGGACAGTAATTCGGCTGCATACAGGTGCTCACCGCCGGAAGGAACTCAGGACACACAGGCTAATGTCAGAACAACAAACATTGAACCCCGCCCTTTCTTGCTGTATCGGTTGTGCATGTGTGACCAAAAGCGATGAGGCTGATACTTTGAGACCGATGAAGATTCCTCCAATATAACCCAAATCTGAATCCCATCTTTCGTAGCGTTCCTAACTATTGATGTGATTACGCGAATCTCACACACCCAGTTGTGCCCCTGATTCGAAATGTTTCGCCCGTGGCCTACTCAGCCCCAACCAGACTTCAACTGGTTTCGATTCAATAACGCAACTGGCACCAGACCTGGCGTCAACTTCAACAACTTCGGGCCCAATCCGCGCGGCCCTGCCACTCCAGCCTTTGCGAATCCAGGACCCCGCCTCTTTGACTTTTCGCAACTCTTCAACATCACTAACAACAACTTCGGCCCCACGCCCCTGCGCCCCAACCAGCCAGGCCGGATCCGCAATCGAGTCACAGTCCTCCTCCCCGATGGCACGCGGGTTCTGCTCGAGCGCGACCTACTCCACGAATACCTCCCCCGAACCCGAAACTTTATGCAGCAGGGCCTCTTCCCCGTCCCTGAGTTCCTCCGAGGCTACGACGATGGCTTCATGGGAACCCTGATGGATCCCCAAAATTTCGACCAGGCCTTCGCCCGCGGCGCGACGTTCATCTTCAGACACCTTGAGGCACTGAGCCAGGCATACGCGCCGCCGTACGGGGCCATGGGCGCGGGTATGGGCGTGGGCACTGGCAGTCGTGGCGGCGCGGCCTTTGACTTGTTCGCTCGGCCGCGCTACCTCCTCGCAAACGCCCGCGATCGATTCGTGACGGTACGAGAGATATTCTGGCACATATTCATTCTCTGTTGCGTGCTAGACCAGGACCGCGCCTTTGGCTGCTCCGATTTGCTGGCGAGACCGATTGCAGAGTTCCTTCTCGACTTTTTGCCGAGCGTGGAGGCATTTCTGCCTCCGACGGCGATGCAGATTTTGTTTGTGGGATATGCTCGCATATTTCGCGAATCGATATTTGAGATGGAGTTGCTAAGGCAGTTGTGGGAGTCGATGGATGTCATGGGCCAAGCACACATTAGGGGAATGATGGGACCGCAGTTGGCAGCGAATGGGATGGGAAATAATGTGCACCGAGTTTGGACTGCTCTCAGACATCTTGGTCTGGTCTGAATTTCTTTTCCGATGTTCTTTCATTGCCAGATATCTCGTCCTCTTCGCTCTTCTGATGGTATCTTGACCAATTCAGGTGTATGGTTATCTCATCTCGATTCGTTCGCTTTCTGAACTTGGACCAGCCGAGAAAGCTGCTTTCCCTCCTGTTCTGGATAGCGATCTCACAATATACGCCTTCTAAGCGGTCTCGGTGCCCATACCCAAGCTACCCCCTATGTAGTTGTCCAAGAACGTGAAATCCAAGTTATCCAGTGCCCAGCTTTCTTCACATGGGTACTGTACCAGATCCTCCAGTTCCTGATCTCCAGGAACCGGAACGATGGCGTCTTGACTTCCGGATGAGCATGGGCGCTCATCTTGAGAACGATGATGGTACAGAGGTTGCGAGTTCGATCCGGTCGGTATCAACGTCCCATTAGATAAACGTTCAATCCTAATGACCCAAAAGTGCGGTAGACAAATATTCAGAACAGTATCTTGATCCGTCAGCTTCACCCGGTACCCAAGATCGTCATCCAGGAATGTTTCTGGCGAAAATGCGACCTCGTATCTCACTCCCAATGTTATGTCGTTTTGGATGCGCAAGAGATGTTTGAGAAGTGTAGCGACTCTTGTGGCAATCTCATCGTTATACTGATCCACAAGTTTCTGCATCATGACCAGAGCCTGCTCCACCATGCCCCGGTCGCTGAGGCGCTGATGTGCAGAGAAGTAGGAACTCCTTCCGTCCGTCGTATCTTGAGGGGTGTCGCAAATGTGCGCTAGACACAATGCGGTACACGATAGAAATGCTATGAGGTCAACACCTCGGCAATAGAATCGCGCCGGTCTAGTCGCGCGAAAGGACAAGAATCTAGAAAGGATCTCCCGACTTGCCGTCACGGCTGTTGCTCTGTCGTGCTCTGATATTGGGCGTAAGATGTTGGGGAAATGGAGCTGGAGAAGGAGATGATAGTACATAAAGTGGTCGTTGAACCGTAACGTTTCCCGAATCTTCTCTAGATGGCCCTTTTCCGAGGCGAGGGTCGGAGCAACCCACCACTGTGCTGGCATTATGGTTGAGGCTTCTTGCAGTAACTTGTCAATATCTTTGGCCTTTTCGTAGTCAAATACCTCCGACGGATCCCGTTGCAACAAGCGTCCGCAAGCGACAGTGCAGAGGCGAAGAAACCGATCTAGTGGAAGACATCCTTCCAGGGTATCTGGGCGAGCGTACGCGTCCTCGAGTGCACTCTGCGGCAAGCCCAACATGAGGGATAGGTAGCGATCGAATTGTACAAGACGGAACCAGAGATCATTCGGTTCAATGATTGAGCCGACGAGGGAGCGCGGCTTGATGCCCCGACTGAGGCCGAGCATCTGCGCAATTGCGACCCCCCGGCGTGCGGCGAGCCATGAAACACGCAGATTGCCAGCGTAGTTCTCATAGAGGCCCTCCAGCATGATGCATTCCAGGCCTTCCAGAGAATCAACCAGATCATCCTTGCATGTGACCAAGTCGTGGGCCGTCTTCACCGCTCGTGACATCATGTTGTGCCAGCTGGTGCTGAGCTTCTCTAGGTGATGGGCCGCGGAAAATGGCATACCCTGAAGGAACGAGGCTAAGATCAATAGACTCCTCGCGATGAGCACCGGATGTGACCCAATGGGCGGTAGTTGCAGTAAAGCCGCGGAGAGCGGAAGGGTGGATGGGTTTGGGCTTGTCCTAGTGCATATGACAGCTCGAATGATTTGCGAAGTTTCCACCGGAATCTCCATGATGATGGCCATGTCTTCCGGACTTGGCCATGCAGTGAGTAGCTGCTTGGAGATGGTTTCATCTGCTTGTGTGAAAGAGGCAGCGAGAGTTGGATGTGCGAGTCGCTCGACTGCGGGGCGCACAGGCGAGAAGCTCCTCTGAGTGTGTGTTTCCTAGACGATCAGCTTCAAAGTCGTGCGATGTGCCTGTACAAACACTTACGACCGTTTTTCCAGCTCGAGCATCATGGTTTCGAGATTCTGAGCGATGGGACTGAGTGGTCGCGGTTGAGAGAACGACGGGGGAAGCCGACCGTCTAGGCGCGATCCTCTCATCCCAAATCCGGCTCTGAGATTCAGCTGGAGAGACGGGTCGATCTTGAATGCGGTGCTCGCTCTCGGTCCCTGATTTTATCAGCTGCCTCACCAGTGCCTCAACTTGGCCAAGTCTGTCTACGATGTGCTTGTTGCTGCCAGGAGGAGGAGGCAGATCAGCGACATCTTGACTGACACAATCAATCCCGCGGCGCTTACAGCCATCACAAATATCCTGTGTGGAGGGCGAGAATGTACAGCGGGCTTTGCGTCGCTTGCATTCCCAACAGCTCTGCGTCCCTTTGCGCAGCTTCCGCCGTTTCGGCGCCGGAGCGGAGTCGGCAACCGGAGGCTCCTCGGCCGAGATTCTTTCAGTTGCGGCCATCATGATGCTTGATTCGACACGCTCAGCATATAGCCTGGGGTCAATATTTGTCCAGTGTGACCCGTAAGAAAGTCCAACAGGCGTATCTTCGTTCGACCGCCGGTTTGGCGGCGGAGCGTAGCGGCGATCAGCTGACAAAGGAGGGAACGTTGTCCATTAGTAATCCCCCGCCATTCTCCGCCGCCGCACCGGTGAATCGGGCGGAGGGTGGGGCTGCGATTTGGTGTCCAGCGGTCTTACACATCCTAGTCCTCACAAGTGTTGAGGCCGGACGGGAGGACCGCATGAGCGGCGGAGCCTAGGAAGACATTTGGGAAGGAAGTATGAAATCGTCTGTAACGATATGTAATGAGTGATATATATATTCCGCGCCGTTCGCCCCATGATGCTGCCTTCAATCGACCTTCAATACTACAAAGACCAATAAGCGTAGGATCGACTTTCCAAAGAAGGACAACAATCTAGAGTGATAAGTTGAGAAAATCAACCCCCACGAGTAGACCAACGCATCAAAATGGTCCGAATCGCGATTGCTGGCGGCTCTGGCAGTAGGTTCCGACAAGTTTTCAGTCTAACTAGGCGCCGACTAATAAGGCCTTCGTTAGATGTCGGACGAGAGATCCTTGATGCTCTAGTAGCTAGAGGCAAGCACGAAATCTTGATTCTATCCAGAAAAGTTGCTTCAATCCTGTCCCCCACGCCATTTCCTTCCAGCAATTAGCTAACTTTGGCAGGATGACACTGCCACCGATTTTGGCCCAGGAGTAAAATGGGTCACGACAAATTACAACGATATTGCCCAGTTGACTCAAGTGCTAGAAGGAGTCCACACTGTTCTCTCTTTCGTCGCCGGACCCGTCGATCCAACGAACGTCGCACAGAGAGATACGCAAAAGAATCTGATTAATGCATCCATCAAAGCTGGCGTTCGACGATTTGCCCCGAGCGAGTGGGCTTCGTGAGTCTTCTACATCGTGTCTCAGGCATCTACTTCGTGTCTGATTGATCTAGTTCCAAACTGGAGCACATGTTCTGGTACGGCTTCAAGGAAGAAACTCGAAAGTATCTCGCAGCCATCAACAAAGACAAGAAGGTACTCGCGTTCTCGGGTTAAGTATTCCAACCATTGCTCGGTACACGTGGCTTACCGGAGTCGGGTACGCTAGGTCCTCGAATACTGTCTGTTTCAACCGGGATTATTCACCAACTATATGACATATCCGTTCAGCTCCTCCAAGCATGTCCAGCTCTTCGAGACACCCTTCAACTTCCATCAACGTCGCGCTCTGGTCGTTGATGGAGGCGAGGACGCCATCATTACCTTTACGACCGCGCAGGACTTAGCTAGAGTAGTCGCTTTAGCTGTGGAGTATGAAGGCGAATGGCCTCTCATCGGCGGGGTCCAAGGCGCGCAGGTATCAGTCGCGCAGCTCATTGCGCTTGGAGAGAAGATACGTGGTAAGTGACTGAACCATTACCCACGGTCCGTCTTTCTCTCGGACATTTCGCTTCTTCTGTGGACAAGTCACTGATATGCCAACAAAGGCGGGCCTTTCGATGTGACCAAGCTCAAGTCCGACGACCTCAAAGCAGGGAGAGTCAAGGCCCCTTGGTTCCCCAAAGTTGAGCACCCATCAATCCCCCCCGAGACCTTAGATGCCGTCGCTCCTAGCCTGCTTTCTGGCATGCTGCAGGGTATTGTGGCTGGGAACCTGGAGTGCTCTGACGAGTGGAACCGCCTCTTGCCTGAATATGAGTTCACTCAGCCGGAAGACTTCCTGACCACCGCGTGGGCGGAGATTGATGCGGGAGCCATGACCGTGTTCACGTCCTACTAGGGAACTTGAGATTTCCAGAGAGCCATTGTCTTTAGCCAGCACTACATGTAATCACGACCTTCTGGTGAAAAAGAATGAGGTTATTTCATTAATAACGTACTGGTTGGACCTTTGAAGCCGGTTCGCTAAATCTGACTGCGCCACCCGAAATGCGGTAGTACACATTGACTATTAAGATAGAACCTGTCGTGGTGTTTGTGCAAAGGATTCGACCTTTAGTCCCCGAGTTTCTGACGTGTTCCATCTTCAAAGCCTCAGGGCAGGAGCACAGTCGGGGCAGCTATTCCTGGAAATCCCGTGGCGGCAAGTCTTTGACCTCATTGGTATGCACATTCTGTATAGTTTTGGGATGTGAATGTGGCTGGCCTTTGGCGTTTTAAAAAGCTCAATGAGGTTGTTTCAATAAGGCTAAAGTATTGGGTAGATGAGAGCTTCTTGAGAGATACTTGCTTGAGTGTGATGATGAAGAGACGTATCTCCATGTTTTCCTCTCGATGGGTAGGGTATATTTATATGTCTCCCTAACGCTCATAGTGTTGAAGTGAATGTGACAGATGCAATAACGCCCGCGGTTCACCGACCAGCTGTATCTTCATCGCCAGCTCAGGTACCTACGCTGGTTATGGCAATCACTTAAGACTGTGATTCACACTCTCGAACCGTTATAGCTGCCCTTATGAGGAAACACTTTTGTTGCTGTTTAAATTCCCATTTCTACGCGAGTCGGAGCTGGAGGCATCTACACGACATAGCCACTGTGCAAAGAAGGAGCTATCCACGAAGACGGTGTAGCCATCGATCACAATCAAGGGAGTGACATTTGCCACAGTCTCTAGCAGCCCGAAAACTTCAACATAATTCTGGTTGCGCAGACACTGACTCACCACCTTACTCAATAATACAGATGTTATTTTGGAGGAGAAAACGACCTGTCGCTCGCGAATTTCGGTTCGAGTAGTGATGAGACTGACCAATCACAAGGCCAGGCGAGTCTTGAGAAAACCACCGAAACTGTCAAAGAGTGCCTGATCATGCCCCTCCCTCCAGCGGCACCTCAGGACGGTTCTCTCTCGCCCAACATCGAGCACAATCTCGAATCCAAACTTGCAATCCTCAGAATCTGATGACATCTCGAGAGCGGTCTTGCCCTCTCGTTCCTCCCGCATCTTCTTCCGTCTCCAGGCGCGACTCCACACGTTCTCTCGCGCCCTGCCGATACCGAGAAGCTTCTGACGGTCCCATTCCCAGGAGACCAGTTCCAATGAAGACATGAGCTCTTGGATCTTGTCTTGCAGCTTCCCTATCTCTGTGTCAAGCGGGAAGGTAGTGACCTCAGATTCCACACTCGGAGGGAGCAGCTTCTTCCAAATTGCAGCCTTCATCCCCCTCGCGGCCTCCTCCGACGGCCTCATCGTACCAAAACTCCACGCGACGGCCCATCGCCTCGTTTTGTTACCTTGCACAAATTCCGTCACGGCGTAGTTGTCGATGTTCTTCTCTCTCAGAATTGCGATGAACTCCTCGAGGCTGGATTGTTTTCCAAACATGGACGTGTACCACTGCACCCTCTCGCGCAGGATGAGTGATTCCTCGAGGATCTTCGACACGAACTTGACTTCGCCGCCGTCTGTCACCATCTCCACTGGCGCGCCGGTGCATGCCGTCAGAGGAGGGCGCGACTTTTGCTTCGCAGAGTTGAGGAGGTCGTCTTCGGATGTGTAGAACGGGGGATTTGTCATGACGAAGGTAAGTGACTCGATACCCAAATCGGTCAGGGGGATCATGGGATCTTGGGGTACACGGGCAATGACGGAGATTCGACTTTGTAGGTTGTTCAATTCTACGTTCGTCTTGGCGAATTCCAGACTCTTTGAGTCAATGTCTACTGATAATCAATACCTCAACAAAAAAATCCGAGAGACCGTAACATACCCGTTGCGAAGAAGAACCATTTCCGCTGGGTGCATCCCAGAAGCGGATAGATACAGCTTGCTCCGGTGCCGATATCGAGCCCGACCACTTTTCGATCTGGATCGCCGTAGGTGGTGCTATCCAGTAGGGTCTTCAGCCAAAGAAGGTAATTGTGGCGGTTTGGTACCTTTTGCCGTCAGCAGTGTAATGATGAGATGTCCGAGACGTTTGGAGGATTGAACTCACTGGTGGACACAAACGATCGTCGGGTAGCTCAATATTTAGCCCAAAGTCAGCTTTCAGCAGCGTCTTTGTGAGCTGCATAACTGCAGATGGATCATTGAAATCAAGATTCCCACCTTTGAGCCTGGGTAAAAGTCGGTCAGTTGAGGTAAAGAAGAATCTCGATGTTGTCACGCACAGAGCGCCAAATTTTGGGTCTTGGCGGCCCAGCTTCCCAAAGTCAGGTTCCGTCGAGTAGAGATTGCGGAAGTAGGCATCTGCATGAGGACCGGGCTCCGGTAGTCGATCCGCGAGTCCGCGATCAGCTCTTCGAATTGCATTTTGCAAGCTGAAATTGTTCGCTGCGGAGGGAGTAGTCTCCGAGCTTCTTCGTCTTTTGCCTGTCATGGCTTCCGGGGGTGGTTGGTGTCTTGACTCGATCCACCGCCACCGAGCGAATTTTGAATCGAGGCCGGTGGCAAACAACAGCATAAAATATATTCAAGAGAGTATCAAACACTGTCGTGAAAGTGATCACCGAGAGGATGAATTTTAGACTTGGCTCAGCTGGTGGTGTCAAAGTTGCTTTGGCTTCGACGTTCGCGACGTGTTAGTGACGAGAAATTGTTACTGGTGGTAAGTTGGTGAGAAGTGGAGCCAGTTGGAGGGAAGATTGGATAGAGGAATATGCGCTTGTGATTGACGAGTCATCGCTATAAGCAGTACCAGCGTTCATCGTGAACAACACGTCTCCCGAAGTCCGCCATCTACTATGTGTATTATAGACTGTTACCTCGTAGACACTTAAATGCAATGATTGACAAGTGGAAAGTTTTAGTCATAGCCTTGGTCGAGTTTTCTCTGCTACTAGTCACAGTAGAAACTTACATATATCGACTCGGGCCCGGGGTGGCCGCTCGAAACAGAGGTAGCACAGGAAGCTGGTTCAACTTCACGAAATGTTCAGAGACCAGGCTTGATACCTTGGTGGTGCGAGCTGGTGATATATCGAAAGTGCTATCTTGTGGTGTAGAGTACTGATGACCACAAACATGTCTGTAGTTGGTTTTCCAAATGTATAAAAGCTCCGAAAACAAATCGAAACTTGCACGCTTCCATGCTATGCAACGCTGTCGTTTTCTCATGTCCGTCATACATGCTCACATATGCATCATGCCTCGCGTAAATCACTGTCCCCACATGAGAACTCTCCACCGCCAGCCTTCAAGCAGCTTCATGTCTTGGTCGACAACCTCCACATCGCCTCTCTCGATCTTGGCACTCAGTCGCTTCAATCGCTTCGACACGGTCTTGGCCACCTGCAGAGAAACTTCGTTGGTGAAGACGTAGAGTACGGCAAAGACAAAGAAGGCGATGCTGGCGAAGCTGTTGCGGCCCAGGAGACTATCCTTGATCCGGGCTACCAGTGCTTTACTGCGCCAGAATGCGTACTCGGTGCTGTTAGACGCCTGGACGTCGGTTTCCGTCTTATCAGAAGGGCGGCGGAAGATGCGCTTCACAGCTGGGATGAAGGTTGCTCTGTAGGCAGTGGTCAGCAACGTCCCGCGAGCTCGTCATACCATGAGATCTTACACAGCTCCACCAATGAGCCAGTTTCTCCAGCGGTGATTTTCGCCATCTTTGATTAGGGTTCCGACCTCCTTCCGCAAAACCTTAAGATCACCTAGCAGGACACGACCTTGGGCCCTGATCTGATCCTCCAACTCTAACGACATGGCACCATCCAGTCGGCCTCTCTTTCTCTGCAGAGACAAATACTCCCGAAGCGCAAATTGGGTCCCGGTCTTGACCGTTTTCAGGTCCTGCGTCGTCGTAGTAAGAGGGTTCAAGGCAGCTGAAGGGCGCGGACCCTCCACCATGCTAGCCTGCTGAGAGTGAGGATTTGGATAGGCTGCAGGGCCAGACATGTGCTCAACTGGAGCTATACTCGTCGGCCCGGGAGGCGGTCCTCCATAGACTGTCCCAGGGTACGGAGCCGTGGGTGTGGTAGACTGAGGCGGCCGCGAGTACGGGTCGACTGAGACCCCCGGCGGCGCTCCAGAAGGTGGTGGAGGGTAGGAGCCGGGTCCAGTGTACGGACCAGACGCGGTTGCAACCGGCCGGCTGTCCATAGTCTCGGGAAGCAGGACACCCTAAGGTTACTTAGCGGCGGTGAGAGATAGTAGCTTTCGGGCTGCGACTAGAGCAGAGCGGATCAGGCGGGAGTGGATGCGGGTCTCTCAGATCAGAGCACAACTACAACAAAAGAACAACAGAACAATAGAACAAAAGCAAGGAACGTAGAATGGCAATTCTATGGACAAGGTACGAGGATAATATGAGCAACGAGAAATTAATGAGGTGGCGGGGGAGCGAACTTGGAGAAGAGCTGGAAACAACTCAGCTCACTGCAGGGCGAAGGCGGAGGGAAGGTGACGGGAAGGTGAAGGCGGCATAAAAGTGGGGGCTTGCCAGCGAACGGGACCCACTGCGGGATGTGGGTCCATCACACCGTTCCAAGTGTGGCGCAAACTCGAGGCCTTAGCCACACATTGGCAGCCTCGATTCTTCCTGAGGCGTCACTCTCTGCCAGAGCTCGACCAAATGTGAAGCCTTTCCAGTCTTGCGCAAAGCCAACACCACCGCGCCGTTGCCAATTCCCTTTACAGATACACAATGCCCGACCCAGCGAGCTCACGGTTCACGCCGTCCAACAAGACAACAACTGAACGCATCTCAGACAGCACCGTAGGCCTCGTCGCGCTCTCCGACTTTCGCAAGCGACGCGCCGAGGTCCTCGACCAGCAAGACCGCGAACGAGAAGCCGCCCTCTCCGGCACATCCACACCAGACCGATCCAACTCCGCGACGCCAGACCCCGGGAGCGACTCGGCGAGCGGCGCAAGCAAACCAAAGAAGAAGAAGAAGAAGCTCGGCGGCAGCAAGCTATCTTTTGGCGACGATGAAGAGGAAGAGGAGGGTTCGCTGCCAGTAAAGAAAGGCAAGAAGGCAGACGAAGACGAGGATGAGAAGAGCACAACCACAAAGAAATCCAGAGTCGTTGCCAACTCGTCCGTCGCGTTTGTGCCCAAGGTCATGTCGAAAGCAGCCTTGCGACGTGAGGCGGCTGAGAGAGAGGCGTTGCGCAAGGAGTTCCTCGCGATACAGGAGGCCGTCAAGGCGACAGAAATTGCAATCCCGTTCGTGTTTTACGATGGATCGAATATACCCGGTGGCACTGTCCGTGTCAAGAAGGGCGACTACATCTGGGTTTTCTTGGACAAGAGTCGAAAAGTTGGCGCCGAGTTAGGCGTGGGAGAGAAAGCCAATGCACGAAGAGAATGGGCGAGAGTTGGTGTAGACGACCTGATGCTCGTCCGGGGGTCCATCATCATTCCACATGTGAGTCAATTGTGCTTCTGTCTATTCGCGTCTTTCACTAATGCTCTATAGCACTATGAGTTCTATTTCTTCATCATCAACAAGAATGCTGGCCCAGGTGGCCAACAACTGTTCAACTACAAAGCCGACGCGCCGCCCAAGAAAGACGGACCGGAACCAGATGAAGCTCCGCCTGCCCCATCTGGCGGCCTGACCACCGCAGCTGCTCTCAAGGCGGCTGCAGTCAAGGCCCTGCCCGACATCAACACCCTTGAAGGTGCCACAGACGACCCTACCCTGACGAAAGTGGTGGATCGGCGCTGGTATGAGCGCAATAAGCACATCTATCCAGCGAGCATGTGGCAAGAGTTTGACCCCGAGAAGGACTATGACACGGAGGTGCGGAAGGACGCCGGCGGCAACACGTTCTTCTTTTCGAGGTGAAGCCTGTATCGTCGACTATGTTTGGCGAGCCTGAATCAGAGGACCGCTAAGGGGGAAAGAGTTACGCCACGAGCGGCGTTCTTGCGCGTTCATCCCGACAGCGTGCGGAGAGTCAAGACGATACCCAGGATTAACAGCCATCCCGGCCAGAAGACCATGACGATCAGCATGTTACCTCCCGGGCCCAGTATTGTTGTTGCAAACTCCATGAAAACCTTCTTCCTCAACTTCTGGATTCGTTTGGATTCCCATACATGTCCCATGGACGTGCGGAATGCTGTCGTCGCCTTCTTGATGGCAAACAGCGAATGGACGGCGAAGAGTCGGGTTGCTATGACTGCCGACGTGAGGGTTGAGGTGGCGAGAAGGTGTGCGTAGAGGAAGAGGAGCGACGACGCCACGGCCACTACTCTTTGGAAGCGGACCGCGATGTCAAAGGTAGGCCCGAGTGCGGCAACGAGATCTGACCGTTGGCGGATGGTTACGCCAGGCTCGTGTTTGGACGAGGTCAAAAGCGCGACTTTGTTCATGATGGCGACGGCAGAAGAGGTCTCGGCGAAGACGTGATCACGACCTACAGCGGTGCCTTGTTTGTTTTGACGTGCCCCAATGCCATCAGAAGCGTGGCGAGCACGTTGCAACTCACGATATATATCAAGGGGCATCTGAAGAGCAGCGGCAACTGCATGCGATTCATTCCACCCTATGGACTTTTGGACTCGCGGTAAAAGCGCCTCTGAGGTTCTCGATAACACATAAAGTTTGGATGAGCATGAACATCAAGTATGATAGAGCTCGCAGCTGCCACGGCGCTATATGCCTAACATGAGCGATGTCTAGAATTTTCTACCCCTCCATTGTGTCGAGATTGATGCTGTGACAGCCCCACCACCGCATCCTTTCCCTGGCGACAAACCATGTCGACACGTGGGGCTGGCTGCTCGCCGGATCGGTTCTTGAAGCTCACATCGGGCCTCGAGGCTGGAGTGGAATATCAGCAACGTGGATTCTCAACGACTCTTATTCGTGGAATCCTTTGGACCCCCGTGGGATCTTGCAGGCTAGAATCTCCATCTTTCAACTTTGGAACGGTTGCGTTACCCCTCGATGGACCCTGATCTTTAACATTTTAGCTTCCATTGGCTGTGTACATCAGTTTGATCTTATCGCGTCTATCGCGCTCGTGATTGAACAGATACCACCTCGAATAAGGTAGCTCCGGATTTCCTGACCTCTTGGAGGTGAATATGGAGGCATGTGGCGGACTCGTGTTTCGGCCGCCGACCGTGGAGGAAAGAGGCACTTTGACGGGTTGGCTCATCTGCCGTTTCCGGGATGCGTCCGACTCAAGCGGATTGTTTACTCCGGCATTTTCGGGTCATATCGGCCACAGTTATGGCTGCGCCACACTTTGTGCCACACTTAGTCATCACGCAGTCATTTACATCCAGCTCCTAGCTGTGGCTGGTGCTCCAGCCACCCACCCAACCAAGGGGTCACCAATTCTAAAATGCGAATCTCGTCACGATCATTGCTGCACAAACAAAAATCGTAATCTCTTCGCCGTCTAAGTATCGGATAGCGACAGACCGCCACCTTCAGCCGCTTTCTCTCTTTTCGGGTGTGCATAGAGCGGTCAGATCCTGCCGGCGATGTGTTCCTGCATTTACCAGAAATACAAAACACCCATCTCGAGTGAGGATTCATTTACGGGAGAGTCATACGTCGGAAACGGACCAAAGATTGTTCGGCGGCCCTGGGGTCCCAGACCCATGAAGTCGGTGAGGATTAGAACACAACCGCAGCGAGGTGTAACGTTCCCACGAGGGTTTGAGGCGAAATAGAGACGTTTGAGCGACGATCGAATTCACTGCTTTCCGTCCGGTCCGACAGAGCCACCCGCCAAGATCCTTCGTCTAGGCGGCAGTGGCTGGTCGAAAGGCACTTTGACAATAAGCACGACCGGCTTTGTGCGCCCCTCAACGAGGAATTCAGCGCGCCGTCTGCCCACCGGAGCCGAGGATGGCATGACGAGCATGACAAGCGCCGATCCGACAAGTGGTTCTTCAGTGGAGATGCGGCTGGAAACGAAGTCACTTTGACTATTGCGACTTGACTGCACCGCATGACGGATGGGACCAGAAAACAAACGCAGCGATATGCATATTTTGCAGCCTGGCTCCATGCAGGTTCCAGGTCATCGATCTTCCTGATCGTATCTGCCAGCGTTTGCATCACGGGGAGCCACCGAGGAGGGCGCGGTTCATCTATTCTTCCCTCGTAACCCAGAATCTGACCGAGGAAATCCCATCCGGTCTTTGACAACTGGTTGGGATCAGACGAAGAGGAACAACGAGACCCTGGAATCGTCCCATCCACTACTCAAAACGTCCAAGGTATACCCGTGACTCTCAGTAAGGTCGCCGCTGCAAGCAAGAGGGACTGTCATTGGGAACATTCATGCATATCCATCCCATCCCACTGGCATCCTCCTTTGCTGTGTTCAACACGAGCCAGCGATCGGCAGTCCGCTCCAGGGCACACGCTGTTCGAAAAAGCTGCTAGTTTGCTAGCTGTCAGCTGCCGAGCCGAGCACTAGGCAGGCCCCAGCTGAGTTTACGTGAAAATATAGTGAAAAACATGAGGACGAGAGACAATTCTTCTAATAATACACATTTCGCCCCAACCCGAACCAGAATGGTGCCTGCAGCGACAAGCCGGAATCGGGCAATTTTGATCGCTTTTCCAACCCCCATGCTCCGCTCAGCGCCGTCTTTACCCATTACCTACCTACCGTACGAGTGAGCGATGCGACCCCCCCTCCACCCCTCTTTTTGTTTCTCCCGCTTGTCTGCCAACGGGCACGATCTACGCCGCGTTTGTGGGGGAAGAGGGGAGGGGATGGGATAAGTGAGAAAGGATGTCGCTTGACGGCGACACGGTCCATCCAGTCGACTGCGGTCGCAAGAAATACGAGAATGGTACCCTTTGTGCTACGTCATGGTTCAACGGTGCCACCTCTCCGGCCTTACCGACTTTCATGCAATGGATGGCTAGGACTCCCGGGTTTAGACTCTTTGATGGAATGCTGTGTGGAAAGGCAACTGGCGATCTTTTGTCAATGTCGATGGGACTGGCGAAAAGTTTGACGATGCTAGGTGTACTTAAACCTGCGTGATGTTCCTCGTCTAAAGTCTTGAGATTTTGCATCACAGCAGCACGCTTCTTCCGTCTCATCTCAATTCATCTCACCTAATCCCACTTCATAGTAAACATAAACTCATCCTCTCAAATTAAAGACCCCTCAACCCATCACAACACTCGTCAACCCTCAAAATGTACTTCCTTGCCAGCCTCCTACTCCTCGCTCCAGCCCTCGCCTCCCCCATCGCCCAACGCGAGGAGACGTGCGGCCAAAAATCAGGCAAGCTCTCTGAGTGGACGCTCACGGGTTTCGACTACCACGCCAGCTACATCTTCAGCACGCCCTCACACCAGAACTCCTGGGGCTACATCAGCTTCAACGTCTCCAACCCGGTCCTCGACTACACCGTCGCCTGCTCCGCCGCCAGCAGCCGTCTCAACGACTTCTTCTACGGCGAGCAGGTCTACCAGTGCACGCCGCCCGAGGGCGGGGAGAGCACGGCCACGTCCTTCACGTGGAGCACGCCTGAGAAGGCTGTTGCGTTGAACCAGTCGTGGACTTGTAACGATGATCCCAAGTACCCGTAAGTCACATCCTCTCAACTCCCTATCTGTTTGCCTTTCATCGCGTGGGATTTCCCCTGTCGATGAAACATTTGGGCCGAAAACGTCACGGGGTACAGTTTGCCATGAGGGATGCCCAGGCTAACTGGAATGTTAACAACCAGAGCCCGCTACACCGCAAAGGGCGGCGCCGTCGCCGATCTCCAGTGCGAGGAGACGTTCTGGCAAAACGATAACTGGACCATTGGTCAGATTTACTCGACGCGCAACATCAACTGCGGCATCATCACGCTGCCTACCCCGATCAAGGAGATCTCCGCGGTCGCTTAGACGGGACCAGTCTTAATCACGGTTCACGGATAATTAGAGCTCCGGCGCGGGGCTCGATTCCATCCGCGCATAATCGACGACGCTTTACACGACTTTTACGATGATTTGGCTGTTTTGCTTTTACGACACTCCTTTGATGGATGCTTCGCACTTTTGCATAGTTCCGGCGCCTAGAAAACCTTTCCCGGGCATTGACCTAATGATGGGAAGAGGGATGCTATTTCGGGATGAAAATGGGACACGGAGCATATAGAAGCATGTTTGGAATAATTCTAATGATCTAATTCTTCTTCATAACTGAGTAGACTCACTGATTGCCTCGTTCGGATGACCGTGACTTCATTGTTGTGTTTAAGAATATTCATATGCAGTGCCTATGGCTTATCAGACGCCTTCCTGCATTAAAGACCTCACGATGACACACTTGACCAAGCAATCTTGGAGAACTATTTCGACCACGACTTCGCAAGAAACTTGAATCGTCGAAACATCAAAGCAATGGGGTATCTTCTTCTGCTTCACATCAACCATCTTCCTTTTCTTTGTCCACACCTCTAAGACTTGATCCTCATCTCATTGAGTCTCCCTTCAGTCATCAGCCGTCTGCCGACACAGCCACGGGTCCTCCATCAGTTCTCGGGCGGATAACCTATCCTCTGGTTTCCACTGCAGCATCTTCCTCAGAAACACCAAGAACTCGGCTTGCTCCGCTCCCTCAAGATTACATTCTTCCTCCTCGAACGAGGACTCTGGTATCTCGCCGTCGACAATTAGTTTCCCTGTCCCTCGCGCGTCAGTCCCACCGGGCCTGCAATGCGAGACACTCGCATGGTCATCAACTAACCTTCTTCGTCAAAAAAGTCTTTCCATGTCGACCCTCTATCCAGGAGATCATCGGGCGGGGGTCCGAGCAAAGACACCGTCCGCGCAAAGTGGGCGGCCCGGGATGCATTCCGATCGCGGTGTCGTGTGTTGTAAAGAAGCTTCCCCTCGAATAAATCCCAAACCTGGCAACAGTGAAAATTTCAGCGTCTAGCAGGTCCCTCGTCGCCGGCGAATCTCTTACCATCAATCCCAAAGCCCAGATATCAATCTTTTCGTCCCAGGGAATTCCGAGGATGATTTCAGGCGCGCGGTACAGATCCGGCATCACCTCGCCGTCGAAGTCGCCTTCTCCGTATTGCGCATCGCCGAAATCTGAAATGACGGGATCGCCCGGGTCATCTGGGATCTCAAGGCCCGTTGATGCGTAGGTGGTACGATCACTCATGACTTTTCTCGCGCTTGGAAGCCTCCATTCTTCGTTCACTAGGTCATCTAAGATTGTCGTGTCCGAGATTGAGAGCATTATGTTTCCATCTTGAATATCTGACGTGTGTGTTAGTGGAGCCGATCTATGCGCCGATGCAGAGAACACCTCAGCCTGAGGTGCATGGTGGTGAAGTAATGCAGGAGCGCAATCATCCTCACCTGTATGGACGACATGTGCAACTGAATGCATATAGTCAATGCCCAGTAGCAAGCCGTATATCAATCCCTTTAAGAGATTCTCTGGCAGCTTGCCGCCTGCCAATTCTCGGATATCGGCCAGGGATAAGCCTAGAGTCTCGAAGACCAGACAAACATGCGGGCCGATTTTCCCTTGCAATTCAAAACTGTCCTTGATGGAACGAAGGAGTTTCTGTCCTGGGTGCTCAGACTCGAGGCGTTCCAAGTGGCGAAGGACCACTTCCTCGTTACGAGCCTGCCGATGACCAGTCTCATAGACTTTCAAAGTCACATAGCAATGCTTCCTAAACTAACAGTTAGCTAAGTAGCTCTCGAAACGACAACAAGTCCAGAAATAGATCGCGCACATACTGAAGATCACGACACAACCACACGGTTGATGCAGACCCAAATCCCAGCTTCAGCAGTACTTGATACCGCGACTCATAGACCTCGCCAATCTGGACCGGGTACCACTTGTCGGGATTATAAGTCAAACCCCCCACTTCCTGGCACCCCCCTGTTTCTGGCACCCACAAAAACGATGGGATCACAACCCAACCTCCTCATTACTATTAACTATTGATCCTCAACCACACCCACTACAATACAACTGCCAGCCTCACTAGGGCATTCAGAGTCGCTGGATTCAGCCGTAATAACCTCCTTTTCACCCGCTTCGATTTGAGCCCGATGGATATCCCTGATGTTCGCAAACTTCGTGTTGGGATCGATCTGAACAGTCTTCCTCTTCCTAACTGCAGCGTTGGTAACTTGAGCCCTCAGGTGAGCCAGCTGCTGCTGGGCAGCTGCCAGTTGCCAGGCCTGCTCTGTGAAGCCTTTTTTCACCTTCCTGAACAGCAGCCGTTGAGTGCTGGTATCATTGTCGAGTTGGGTGTATAAGTGCAGTTGACCGCTGAGCTCTGCCAGCTTCCTGGGTGTCGACCAGACCACTGCAGAGGAAGCAGAATCCCATGGCTCAACAGGGGTAGTTTGTTGACCATTATGGCATCGCTTTTGCCCCGACTGGTTGGTTTGGGTGTGGTGGGCTTAGCAGAAGGCTCAGGTAATACCATAGGGTTCATCAGGGGCTTAACCATCGCTACAGGGTGTAGACCAGTCCACTTCCAACCACTTCTGATGTTCGAGACTGATAGACCAGCAAGTCGAGCCTTCTGGTAACAGTCCAGGAAGTTCCTTTTACCTATAATGGTAGAGTCGTTCCATTGAGACAAGTAACCGAGCTCCTTCCGATAGGCTGACTTAACAGGGCTGAAGACAGACTGGTCAAGTGGCTGGAGGACATGAGAGGAGTGTGGTGGTAAGAACAGTAAATGGATATTGTTAATATAGCAATTCCACATGAAGTCTGTCGTCGTATGACTCCCATGCCCATCCACAATCAACAGTCGAGCCTCGCCCTCAGCCTCGGGCATAGTCTGTGGGATAAACACCTTCTCTAACCATTCAATGGCAGTTAAGTCTGTAGTCCAGCCATTATCTGTTGCTGTAAACTCCCACCCATCGTATGGAACCAGATGTAATGGAAACCACTGTTGTTGGACCGTCTTCCCTTGAAAATGATAAGAGGACGAAGTGCCCTACCCAAGGCTGAGATACACTCAATGATAGAGACCCATGCCCTCGACCCAGGTTGTTTCTTGCGAACAGACGTCGTCTCAGCCATGCCCAGCACTAACCCATTAGCTCCTGACCCTCGAGGATGCCAGTCTCATCCATATTATATCTGTTGGCTGGTTTGATGTCCTTGATCTCAGGGATAGCAAGGAACTTAAACCAGTTCCTAATGACCTCAGTAGATGCCCCATTAACGCGTCTAGAATCGATGGAACGACTTCTCTGAACCTTAATGATAGGGTTCCTTCTCACGAAGGCATAGATCCAGCCTTTTCCTAATGGTTTGGTATCCCCAGCAGCAGCCAGAACTCGCTCTGCGAATTCCTTCACCTGTTGGTGCGTTGGTGCGAGGCCCAGAAGCCTGAATGCGAACCCATTGTGCCAGCTTACTCTCCTGGTCAGGAGACAGCCTCTGCCAGTCAGCAAAAGCCACTTTCCTAGTCTGACCACCTTGGAGACGTAGTTGGAGGGTTGATCGTGGTATCCCATACTCCAATGAGGCTCTCTTTTGACTCTTGCCGTTTGAGATGTCCTCGAGAGCCTGACGAAGCTGATCTTCGGTATATTGAGGCATTAGATATAGAAGAAGGTATGTGCAAAAAATGAGCCCATTTGGACTCGAATTGAAAATGTTGTGATAAAAGGAGGTTGGGGGTGGGCATTGCGTTGTGGTGGATTTTCGCGTTTTTGTGGGTGCCAGAAACAGGGGGGTGCCGGGAAGTGGGGGGTTTGACTTACCAAGCAAAAGCCTCCTCTTCCAGGCGTACCTCTTGGCCGTACAGCTCTTCCGGTTCGGCGTCCGGCAGCTGCCGTGGGGGCGAGGCGTCTCTCTCCGCGGCCATTGGCGTCAAGGACCGCGGCGACAATGCGGTTGAAGTAGGCGGTGAGGTGTGGACTCGGAGACATGGCGTTGTTGCGCGCAGGGTTTGCTCGAGGCTCTGGCTATTTTTTGTGGGGTGGAGATGGTAAGTGCCCGTTGTGCTGCGGGCTTCCCCACTAACAAAAGTCTCGTGTGACCAGTTGCAACTTGATTTGGTTTCCAGCCACCTCCATTTCTCGTTGGCGCTGGAGCTGAGTAAGTGAGCTGAATAGGTAGGAACTATGAGATGATTTGTGAATACGAAGAGACCAAATTTTCAGAACCCTTCTGTGGACAATTTTTTGTCACGGCTTCACTTAGGATTCTCTGTCGTTGTAAAGCCCACGGACACGGTGACTTGGCAACTCAACCTGGTAAAACTTTATTCAACACTAGAAGAAAGTAACCGTCATCTATCAAGCCTCCCATCAATTTTCGAATCGCGTGATGAAGCAAGAAGTGTCCAGCTACGACCATATCCTTTCCTTTTCTGATCATCTTCTCCTATTGAACGTACTAAAGTCTGTTACCCGGTTGCATACAAGCTGTGAAAAAGGCATAGCCAGGCGCTGAACTTAGAGAATGGGCAATCTATCCCATTTGGAATCTTCATGCTTATCGTTATTTCAATTCGACGAGTGCGAATGTCACTTCAAAGCCTTAGCACTATGATTGTGCAGTGCAGAGAATATACAGAAGAGGAAAACAAAGAAATAAATTGATGTAACCTAATTTGAACTCTCAGCCGATGTGCAAATGCCAGAATGGATTCGCGGTGCTTGCTTCCATCAAACGAAAACGCCGGCAACTCGCCTTCGTAGCTGGAATCATCACCGTATAAACACAAGTCGGAACATTCCTTAAGTGTCACATGCGTGCACTTGTGGGACAGTTGAGTCCAGTCCCAAGGCTTTCTAGTCTTGTCATTGTCGTGTTCGCATTTGCTCGCAAGACGTGCGCCAACTTTGTTTGAGAGTAGCGAAATTTAACCTTACAGCCCAATCTCGTCTCAAGGGTTTCGCCGTTGCAAGAGTCTGCGGCCACTAACAGGCCTTCATCGTCCCAGCTCTATTAGAAATGGCAAGATTTCCGTTCTGAAGTATTACGTCTTAGAGCCGTCTGGAGCTATGTCTCTGGGCCAATAATAATGCCTAGTCTGTGGATTAAGCGTGGTACACCAGATGCGCGTTGTCTGTCAGACGATGTAGCTGGGTTTTGCGACGGAAATAATGGGACTTCATACTAGCTTGACGATTGTGTAATATTGCAGACCACCAAGTCTTTCGATATGCTTGCTTGTCGTCCAGAATTTTGAAAGAGAGGAAAATGAATCCTGTTGATCGCTGCATTTCATAGCTTGACTTCGAGGATGAAGCATTGGTCATAATTGAAATGGGAGACCGATCAATGCCTGAGGGAACTGTCCGAGTGCGAAGGAAATGCGAGACCAATTTCAATGAACATGACCGACTGCGAGCGTTGTTTTCGCAAGCAATCATGTGCTTTGCGGTATGTTGCCAGATGCGAATGCGAATACCGTTGCATTGCAGTCTGACCGAGACCGCTTGAGTCACCCGACCGGCACGGTGAGAAGAATCGGGTTTGGGCTGTCAGCACCTTGAATCCTATCTGCGCCACAATTTGGAGCCCAAAAATCAATTGGACCTCAAGTCAACATCGAAATGTGTGAGCCCACGAGTCAGTACTAGAAAGTCCAAGAGATTAGATCGGCGACGATGAAGTCGAATCTTGGACAGAGACGTTGAGATATATAAGAGTAGCATCAGCCTGCATACTCTCTCACATCTACCTGTTTTTTACCAGACTCGATCGTCAATAGCATCTCGAAGACTTCAGTGTCCAACGTCAATATGAATCCGGTTAACACCAAACCGTACACTCTTCCCCCGGATGCAATATGGTTGAGTAAGTCTTGCTATGGTGAGAATCGCTTAGGTTCACGCTACTAACACACTGCCAGTCACCGGATGTTCGTCGGGTATCGGCCAAGCACTGGCAGCTCTAGTCGCAACCAAGCCCAATCATCGCTTGATCGCCACAGCTCGGAATCCTACGGACCTGGATTATCTGCCCGACGGCAATGTCAACCTCCTCAAACTGGCCCTTGATGTGACATCACCAACCTCAGTGAAAGAGGCGTTCAAAGCCGCAACCGAACACTTTGGCAAAAATTTTCATCTTGATGTCTTGGTGAATAATGCCGGGTATTCGTTGTCTGGCGATACTGAGTCTGCGACCGAGACACAAGCTCACCAGGAAATTGAAACCCTCTTCTTCGGTACGGCGCGGATGACTACTCGTGCCATCGAGAATATGCGACAGTCTGAAACCCGACGAGGCGGTATTATCTTCAACATTTCCTCTCTTGCTGGACAATGCGCCTTTCCGGGTCACGCGTACTACCACGCGGGGAAGTGGGCCGTCGAAGGGTGGACTGAGTCTGTGGCAAAGGAGATGCATCCTGATTGGAACAGTAAGCTGGCATCATATCTCACATGGAAAAGTGCAGGAGTCGCTGACGTATTTCAGTAAACTTCTGTATTGTAGAGCCGAGTGGTGTCCAGACGAATTTCGAGGGGCATAGCAAGGCGCGGACTGAGCCTCATCCCGCCTATGCCGAGAAAGATATGCCGGCACGTGTTCTCGAGAGATACGTGGAGATGGGTATCAAGTCGGGAACGCTTACCAAGCCGTCTGCGATTGCAGACGCTATCTTCAGTATTGCGTCTAGCGAGAAACGCATTCCTTTGCGTGTTCCCCTCGGTGAACCGGCTTGGGGCTTTATCAAGCAGAAGCATGAGACCTGCTTGAAGGACCTTAAAGACGTCAAGGATCTCAGTTTGTTGGTGTCTAAGACGTAATGGGTACTAAGAAGCGGCGGCAGATGTAAGGCTTGAAATTGCTCAGGGTTCTGAAATGAGATATCCTTGTATCCCTATATTGGGACATTCTGTCGAGGTCCGCAGTCACTCGAGATGGGAGCACATGCAGCCCATGTACAACATATGTTTCCTGAACTACAGGCCATTGTTACTTGAGCATCCGACTCGTGTGACTAGGGCTTGCTAAAGAGTTATGCCGTTTCTTAGCTCTACTTCATGTCCATATCAAATCCTTGCCCCTAGACAAGTAATGATGGAGGACTGAAGTCAAATGCATTCTCACGCAGCATTTGATGGCCATAAACTTTTCCAGTCACTCCAGTTCTTCGTTATCATTCGTTACCAGAACGTCATTAATTCGTACCCAACCGGCCAGCCGTATGAGGACGGCTCGCAATGTGTACATGTATTATACATCTTGACAGACACTAGATGGATGGAGTCTGGGCCAAGAGCAGCACTCTAGTCTTGCGTCGAGCTTGCCTCCAAATTCACACATTAATTGTCTCCGCCATCCCATTATCGTCCAACCTCAACGTGGTAATCCTTGGTGACCTGAATTCCCGAGTTGTAATTTCCTCCGTCATCGGAACTCCGGTCATCCGCAAACGCCGTGGTCTGGCTTCTGGCGCCCTTTGGATTGACGATATGCTCTTGACTTCCTACAGATGTGTCGTCGAGCTTCTGATGGCCATTTCTGACGCGTGACATCTTGTGGGAGCTGCCGGTGCCGCCGAATGTGACCAGGCCGGAGTGGGGAGTACTCGGATTCGTGGAGCCGGTGCGTCGATGGGGGAAAAGCGGCTTGATTGACGGAGCGTTCGTGCAGATAATCGCAACAACCTGATAGAAAGTTGATTAGCCAAAATGGCGATGAAGTAATAAGAAGCGATGAATTTTCAGCTCACCGTTTCACGGATGGACCAATTCAATCCCAAGTCAAGTCGTTCGGGGGTGCTCAAGCAGATGATGCACCGCAATAGCGTGCAAATTACGATGAAGAAACCGGCACAGAACATTAGGCCGAATGCTAGTTTCCTACGACATTTGTTAGAATCACAAATTCTTCAGCGTTCAGCTGCAACTTACTTTTGAAGAGTGGTCTGCAACCTCCACAACAACGGGATGGGAATGTACATGATCATGATGTCGGTTCTAGGTACAAGCGTCAGCTAAGGGATGACTGTTCCAGGTGCATCAAGACTTACACGACGTTTGTAGTCACCAACGCGTAATACTTGGAGGTGTTTTGCGTGCAGTCATCTACCTGACGTTAGAGTCTCGCCGTCAGATACGTTTCGGCACATTATCTTCCTTACCTCCGGCATAGGGATACACCTGCCAAAGCTTGTGCATAGGACGGCAATGTCCTGTAACAACCGCAAGTGTGGCCAAGTAGGCAAAGACGGTAATCACGGACACCACCTTGACGAGGCGTTCCTCTGGCAGAGTTTTGCTGCCCAATCGTTACTTAGTGTCTGTTTTGCAGGGACTCAACTGACAGACAGCAACTTACGTGACTCTGGAGAAGAAGAAGAGCATAATGCCCTTCAGACTCCAAATCATGCTAACGTAGACATACCACGCAGCGAAAAGCCATTTCGCTCCCGTTTCGTGGCTCTTGTATTGTTCTGGCGTGAGGCTCAACGCGATCTCGTCGGTCATACCCGTGATACTTCCCTTCTCAACTAGAAAGTGGTCGTTAGAACAAAAGTAAAGTTTTCTTGGCACACAAGAGTCTGTTCTTACCGATGATTTGACACATCATAACCTCCAACTAAGGTTCGTGGTGTTGTCAGCGGAGCCCGCTCCGTGGTGTGGTAGGGAATAGGGGTTCCCCGTTGAGACAACAAACTAACTGTGAAGAATATAATGGCCGCCACGGCCAAATAATCGTCGCCTTGCCATTTGAAACCCACCACCTTCTTGCATCTCGTAAAGATTCGTAGGAAAAGAACCAAAATTCCAATGGCATATTCCACCCACATCTCAATCACCGCCGGCATCAACGCTTCAGCTACCGCCATTGTTGCGGGTTGTCGGAGTTGACCGCAAATGCACACACACACACTCGTTCTTAATCGGGGATAGGCAAAAACAAAGCGCTTCCAAAAAGTTGAAGAAGTAGACCTGCGGGTAATGCTGAACCGGCTAGACAGACGCCAGTTTTGGGCAGCTCGTGCTTAAGAATCGGGTCGCGAAAAGGTTGCAGAGTCTGCCGCCTGCAGGACCCATCTGCAGGTTACTTCCAACCTGCAATCGGCAGTTAGGATCGACCAAACCCTCGTTCATTGGGTCCAGGGGAACGACTGGAAGACACAAAGATAGTGAACCGTGATTGTGGACTCAGGTAGTAATTCTACGTTACAGGAAAGCGTTCTCAGGGTTGGAGGAGACAACATAGGTCCACAGTGCTGAATCGGTAATGACGAGAGAACCCCCTTTTCTCTCTTGCTCTCTGGACGTATCTGGCCGAAGTAGATTGTTTGAGAGGTCAGGGTGTGGAGATCGGCAAGCACATTTCCACATTAGAAAGTTCTGCTCATGGGACATGACTTAGCAAGCTGGCAGACAAGGACTGCATTGGCCCGCGGAAGGGAACGTCAAACTGACTTGGCAGCAGAAAGCAAGGGCTCCTGAGGCATTTGCGTGGCATCGGAGAAAACGACATAACATGACTTTCGTCCCATGCGGGATTCGTAATAATGGAGAGTTTGGCCAGTAGCTGGTTATGTGAACTATGAAGTTGTAATGATGGATCATAAGATGCTTGGTAAAGCCGTTGGATCATCAGAAACGGGAACCACTAGGGACCACATTCTCAACCACAGTCAGCGGATGGGCAGGTTAGATCTCGGTCGACGGTCGCACATCCCCCAAAACCAGACCATTTCTGGTAAGACAATAGATCCCTCCCGTGGTCTCGCCTTCTGGCCCGTTGGGCCGCGACGAGCTTGCCGGCCGGCGGACCCCATGCAAGTTGCATTTCTATTAGTCGTTGCTGAAGAACGGTCCCGTCCGGGGAACTGGGCCGGCTTGGGACAGGGGCCCCTGTGAACTCTATTCTCAACCACTGACTCAATCCCGGCCCGCCCCCACTCGGAAACACAAGCTGATTGTGAATGTGCAGTTCCTGATTGAGCGAAATTTTGGCCTCGTAATATACCGGATGAACGTGGAGCACGGAGCAACGAGCACCCAGGACGGAATGCTTCTCTGCTATCTGTGCCCGCCGGCTGCTAGAGGAGGCTCTTCGTCTCTTTATCGTGCAAGGTCACCCAGAAAGGAGGGTTACGTGGACGATTTTGACACAGACATGAGATGACATATTATTACTATTACGCTTTACCACTCGATGGGCTGGGACTTGATCGGCGCGTCGAAAAACGCTGGCAGCTTGGCGATGTCCACCTTTTCGCTCGCGAACGCGGGGTGGTCGTCGTATGCAAGAAATCCTGTTCCATCATAGCACCCAACGTACTCCGCGTCCATCTCTTCACCCTTCAGAACTGCCACATCAACCCAAAGCAGCAGATCACCACCCTCCATGACTCCACCAGGCCCGTATGCAGCGAAAAAGTCGCGTCTGAGCTTGACGTGAACCTTATCCGTTCTGCCGATGTGTTCCATTTTGGAAAGGTCAAGCCAAAAGAGAATCTGGGCCTGACGAATGTAGTCCAAGCCGGGGAAGATTCCGTTGCCGTGACCATTTGTCAAAGTTCCGTTGGTACCATTTGTACCATTTGTGCCGTTGGTTGAGGCGCCGTTGACAGCGCTTTTCGTGGCACCAGGTTGCTTATCACCCGCGAAGGCGTGGCAGGCCCTTGAAGAAACCATCCCACCGGCGGGACCAGCGTTCATGACATTGGTGACCCATTGCTTGGTCAGACCGTCGAAGTTCTCGTTCCAGTGTTCGCGCTCGTTGTCATTCATGGCACTGTAGTCTTGGCCCTCGACAACAAAGGAGATGTTGTCAGGGAACTTGGACACTCTGACCCTTCCGGGGCGGATCTTGTCCGTCAAAGGACGAGCCTCGGGTACGGCAGGCAGAGGAGACTCGAACTTGTCTTCCGGGCCATCAGGGGTCATACGCGAGCGGTAGGCGCCCCAGTATCCCGTTTTCGAAGTGAGGGGGATCAGCTCTCCGCAGTGGCCGAAACCAGAAGGTTGCTCCTTGTTGGACTCGTACATTGATCTCGTGGCGGGCAAGCTCACGGTCTCTCTCCAGAAACCAGCGTTCTCAGGCAGAGCGGCCCAGAAGGCAGAAGTTTCCGGGCTCTCCCACCATGCCTTGAAAACCTGGGGAGACTTCCAGTAGCTCATCCAGACCTTGGAGGGGAGGTCATTTTGCTCGAGCTCTTCGACATGAATCGCGGCGGCCTTGATGAGTCCGTCAAACTTGTTGATGAGAGCTAGTTTCTCCGGTGAGGGTGAGTCGGCATGATACTGGCATCCGAAGATTGACACAGTGAAGTGATGAGCTGATGGGAAACGAGATCGAAGCATTTTGAAATTCTGCACAACGATGTGCTAATGACTGGGGAGAAAATGAGGCGGCAATGAAGCCGAATGAAGGACCCTCGAGACTTTATAGCGTAGCATAGCAATCCTACTCTCCCCCACCACAACAAGTACACACAATTCGTAATGCAGATGTTCTCTCTGGGCAGCATCTGGCTCTACCAGCTTTAACGAGCTCCAGTCAACCATGCTTCGAACACCCCCCCTTCTCGTTCCTAATACGCGCAGCCCAAATGCATGGCCATGCTCAAGATGGACCAAGATGGGGGTATTCGTCTTGACATATGCAGGGTCGCAGTGTGGGCGGAGAGCGGAGGCCAATGGCAAGGGCAGAGGGAGGGGAGACGGAAGAGCTAGCCAAGGTCCTGGAACATCTTCACCGCCGATCAATAGCGGTGCAACATCTTCAAAATGAGAAGCGGAGATGCGGGGCCCAGCCAGACTCTGACAGCTGGGGTGTCCCGACTTCTGCATTGTTCTCCATCTCAAAGAAATTCCATCATCGAGAGTCCTAGTTGCCGACCTTTCAACCCCAGGGCAGGGTTATATTAGGCGACGCTCGGATCTCACTTCCCAAAGGGGATTTCCCTGCAACGTTTTCTGTCAAGTTACGACATTTCATCAAAACAGCCTCACTTGACCGGGAAACAGAACCCGCCGTATCATTCAGTCTCCGACAAGAT